AAAACTCTAAAATTATCATCTTCAGTATACAAAGTAAATCCAGCCCTACCTCTTTTCATAATTTACAAATAGGTTTGTGTTTGGTTGAAATTCAGGGAAGAAGTGCTTGCCAAACAGGCACTTATTATCCGGTCTGGGAATATATTGTAAATTTGGAATGGTTTCCTGGGTTAGTTCTCCGCTTCCCCAACCAAATACAGCATCTGTTGGTTAATACTCATAACTAAAAGTCTAAAACTTTCTTCTACTTTTGAACGAGGATTATGTTGTTTCCCATCATGTATATATGTCCTCCAAAACCTTCCGATCCAAACAGGACATTGAAGTTTCATACATAAGCTTTCTGTCTAACATAGGGATTGCATGGGACAGGTGGGGAAAGATGTGGTTGCCTGTTTAAATGAAGCCATGGAGAGGCTAGGACTAGATATGCAAGTATCTGCCTTGGTATGTTATCTTCCTTCACCAGCAGATAATAAAATGAATAGAATATGAAACCGGACCATTTGAGGGCCCTTCGGTGCTCCATTTGACCCTGAAGTGGTTTCTATCTTCCTTATCCTCAAATCTCCCCAACCCACATTCTGCCCTCTGCTTCGCCCGAAGCATATCGGCAAAACAAGGAGCCTAGAGCCTGGGGGGCTATGGGGGGTAGGAACCACTTTGGAGTCAAGCGAAGCACCGTAGGACTCTCAAATGGGCCTGGGTCCCGGGGTCATGACTCATGACACAGGTTGGGTGTTAAAAGAACCTCAATGATCATAAAAATGTGTCTTGAATGACTGTATATGTTTTTTTCTTCACCAGTTTAATTTATATGTGGAGTTGGCCTAGGTTAATGACACCGTGGCAACACTAGCTGGAGCAAGGTATTGGGACGATGATGTGCTGGTTGCTGTCATTCTTGGGACCGGAACCAACGCGTGCTATGTTGAGCGCACCAATGCCATTCCTAAACTCTCAGATCATCACCATTCATCATCTGGGCTAATGGTTGTTAGAGTCTTGAAGTGGTTGCTTTGAAATCTTTATATACATAATATAAAAAAAATCACTCCTTAGTCCGTACTCCTTACACTGGCTTTCACATTTCAGGTTGTGAATACTGAGTGGGGAGCATTTTCGAGTGGCCTTCCCCTGACAGAGTTTGATAGAGAAATGGACGCCGACAGCATTAATCCCGGTGAGCAGGCAAGTTATTTTAATATGTCCCTCAACATAGATTGCTTTTGTCGGTCTTATCTATTTGTCAACAAGTGGTTATCAGACCTCTCAACTTTGCATATATATGTAATGAAACAGATATTTGAGAAGACAATTTCGGGCATGTATCTCGGAGAGATTGTCAGGCGCGTCCTTGTAAAGATGTCTAAAAGTAGTGGCCTGTTTGGAGACTCCGTCCCGGAAAAACTATTCACGCCATTCGTTCTCGGGTAATTTCTATGTCCACACAAACATCAATTGGTCGTAAGTTTCTCATCATCCTCACAAGTCACAAACATGGAATTTTCTCTATAAAACAGGACACCAGATATATGTGCAATGCAACAGGACACTTCCAGAGATCTTGAATCCGTCGGATCAATCCTCTATAAGTTAACTGGGGTATATACAATATACGAACTTGCATTGTTGTCTAGATGAAAACACTTTTTGAGAGTGGCGCATTGACATTGATGATGTATGTATATCAGGTGAAGTCTGATCCCAGCGCGAGGAAGACAGTGGTAGGGATATGCGACGCCATTGCAAGGCGTGGGGGGCGCCTGGCGGGTGCAGGAATAGTGGGGATCCTCCAGAAGATGGAGGAGGATGAAAAGGGGAGCGTGTTCGGGAGGAAGAGGGCGGTGGTAGCCATGGACGGGGGGCTGTATGGGAATTATCCCCAGTACAGGGATTACCTCCAAGAAGCCGTGACTGAGCTGCTGGGAGGAGAGATGTCAAAGAATGTGGTGATAGAGCATTCCAAAGATGGGTCTGGCATTGGTGCCGCTCTCCTGGCTGCTGCAAACTCCAAGTATGTACAGACACCTCGTTTTCAATCATAGTAGGTGGATGGTAAATTACATATTTGTGTTGTAATTATAGATTTATTACCATTGTGATTAGCTAGGTAGATGCAAGATGAGAGAGATGAAGGATAATCTTTCATTCTTTCTTTGCTTGCCTCTTAGGAAATGCCAAAGTACGTGAATTCATCTTCTTCTTTTGTTTTGTTTTTTTAGAAACATTTGTGTGGGATGGGAATAAAACTGCATGTAGAATGATGATGTTCCACCCAAAACCAATTGGCAATACGAGGATTAATAACTTGTATTCATCATCTTTACACACACACACACACACATACATTCCTCAAGGAGGGAACTGAATGAATGAATCAAGGGCACTTGGGCTTGCCGCCGTGAGTGGTCATATTAGCATAGCATGGGCAAACTTCCTTGTGGCCGGAGGTTCCGGGCGGGACACAGTTGCACCTGCCGCAGCAAGTCTTGCACGCCCTCATGCAGATCTTCTGCCTCGACGCCACCTTGCATCGCCCGGCGCATGCTGCCCCACAATCTGATACACACACACACAATCATACAATGGACTATTAAATTTGTTTTGGGACGGGAGGAGTAATTTTTACTAGTCTGTATAAGAAAATGAAATGAAATTGAAAATAAACAAACCTATATGGGGGGTATTAGGTTGGCCTGCGGCAGTTACATGGACCGGAACGGCGGCGGCCGCCGGTTCAGACTGAGCGGTATGCATTAGTGAAACAAAGGTGATGAGGAGTGCCGACGCAACGAGCAAGCTGGAGAAGGATGATGATGATGAGGAGATAATTGCACCCGCCATTTATAAATTGTAATTATATGGCTGGACTAATTAATCTGTTATACAATATTAATGTTAATAATCGATTAATATAATTACCTTATTTAGTAAGAGTATATTGGATTATTGGATATATGAGGACGAGGTGGGGGGAGGTATTTAAAGATGACGGCAAAAAGAGTCTCTTTCCATTTACTCCGGGTAATATTATATTGCTATGGAAGTTTAAAATTAAAGTTCCAGTAAAAGAATAAACGAAATGATTAAGGTCAATAATATAATTAAGCCATAGATTTTAAGTAAGGGATATTCTTTGGTACCCTTGAGGGGAAAAGATGATAAACTATACCTTTTTGGACAATTTTGCTATCCTTTCTCATTTTAAATATTTAATCAATCTCCATTTGGTATTTAAAAAAGTTTCATACATTTATTAAATACGCAGTAATAATTTTGAACGAATGTTATTTTTTTCATTTACTTAAAACTAGCTCTAAACTTTTGAATTTAACGAATCTGAACTCTAGTTAATTTTTTAATTTTGTTGGTTATTTTCGTTGACCATTTGATAAAATAATGCATAATCATGTCACCTTTAATTTTGTAAATCTTTTGATATACGGAGTAGTTTTAAAATATATAATTTTTATCTTTTAAATTTACACCATTTTTTATATAAAATAATTTAAAAATAATTTCAGCCAAATATCTTAACTTGTGACATGAAGATAACTTCTAGACAAGAGGTTAATATTTTATCATAGATTTGTGAAAATGTTTTTAATACCGGAATTCAAGGGAAAATTATATTATATGTAACCGAATAAGAAGGGAAAGGAGTATGTTATCATTGTTTGTAGGAAATGTTCTCGTAGATACTCTAAGATTTGAGCAATTATATACTCCGCAATACTATTCTTAAATCCTCTTTTGATATATTCTTATATTCTGAATATATCATGTCATATGTATTCCCAATTAATTTACTAATCACATCTAAAAAACAAATTATAAAGTAAGTACTCTGTATAAAATATACATTTCTTATTTTGGTGAAAAGAGTAAAAAACGAAAATGTTTGCGAAACACATGGAGTATTATTCATATTCTTGTTACTTTACGTAACCCAAAAGCCCATTTTTTAAGCTAAAAGACCAAAACCAAATAAATCGGTAAATGGGTAAATGCTAGCGGAAGTTGAAGTTAAAAAATGAAGAGGTTTGGTTTGGGCGGAAGCCCAAATCCCAATAAATCGAACTGGCCCTTTCTCTAGCCTAACAAAGAAGCTCAAATCAGTTAAGATCCAAAATAATCGAAATCAGAGTTTCTTTTCTTCTCATCTGATTAGAATAAATTTTGATATGATCTGATCTAATTTAATCTAATTAAAGTTATATTTAAAATTTTTCTGATCTGATATAATGATTTGTTCTGTTTCTAATAAGAATAAATAATAACATTAAGTTGAAGATTGCAAGCTCTCAGTCTCTATAAATTAAAGCCGCTCTTGGAAAAATATCATTCTACTTTTTTCTAGGTAAAGAGGCCTCCATATCTTAAATCAAGAGATTGATCTTACTGTCAAATTATTCAATTTTATAGCTTTGTTTGTAATTCAATTTTAGAGTAATGCTAGGGGTATACCGATTTGTACCTCAGATTGCACACACTCGAGCGCTTCTCAAATCGCATGTTTTTATATATCTATTCTTTAATTTTTTTATTCACACAAAAAATTAAAATCATGTTAGGTGCACCCCAAACATTGCATCCCGGCCAAAATGTACCCCAAAGGTTATGCGTTTCGATAATTTACATTGACACCAAACGTCAGTGTGACCACAAAATTTTTTCACTGACGTTTCGGGTACATCAATGTAAGCCATCAATTTCGTACTTATATTAATTCAAAATGTAAGTGCAAATCTTTGGAATACAATCTTTGGAGTACAAGTAGATTTATCTTTAAAAAAAATCTGTGGCGCATAGAATATTGTTGGGGTACCAATGGTGTACCTTTTATGAGAGAGGTTGTACGACTTGTTTTTTCATACAATATTTTAGAGGGTTTTCTTTATACCAAAATATTGTATGTGGGTCTAGGATTGGTGTTGTAATCCTTGACGGTTAAGTTGTACATGCACTATTTTTATAGTGGTGGTTTTTCCTCTGTAAAGAGGGTTTTTCCGGTTTCAATAATCTTTGGTCTCATCTTTTTTTTTTGGCTTGCGGTTTCTTTGTTCTTCGATCGACTATTAGTTTGTTCCTTTCGTTGCGTGGGAAGTTTTGTGTTAAATTTCCCAACATTTGTCAATTTTATCCTTCGTTTTTTTTGCTTATTGTTTACTTATATTCCGAAATTTCAAATAAGGAATATACTCCGTATATATAAGAGATTTTCCAAGAGAATTTTTTCCTTTTAACATTTACTCGGTATTTAAGATGGGAAGAAGCAAGCGGTTTCTATTCCATGAAAACACAGTTTGTGGGCTAGAAAATTGCTATAAATTATGAGTGATAAGGCAACATTATTTTGTAGAACATCTATTATGGCACGAGAAATGTGATAAATTTTAGGCAGTTTAGAAGTAGGTAGAAGTATTTTATGGGATGCACAAAAAATGAAACATAAACATCTTTTAGGAACGAAGGAAGGATAAAATATACTACCTCCATTTTTCAAAAGAGTTCATCTTTTGACTTTGGGGGAAAATAAGGAAATGTTAAATTGTAGTTGACTTTCCAATTTTGCCCTTGATGTGATGGGTAAAAGTAAGATGTAATAGTTTAGTTGTTAGTGAAAAAGTATGATGTGATAGGTAGGGTATGAAAAAGTAGGGGTAAAAGTGGTTTTTTAATAAAAAGGAGAATTGTTTTAAGAAAAACAAAAAAAATGAAAGAGGGAGGGTTTTAAGAAACGGAGGGAGTAATTTTTTTAATTATAGTTAACGAGCCGTTGACCCTTGGATTGACCGGTTAATCATTGTCCCACTAGCTCGTCCGAATCCATATGTGGTCCAATTTTTAAGACAATTGTTTGGGAAGGTAAGTATTTATAAGTTCTTCATTATAATATTGTATATCATTTATTTATTTAAATATAATTAGCTCGTGCACTTAAATCCGTTAAGATATTAAAAATAAGATCTTTAGGGTCTCTTTTTTCTGTCTCGGCCCAGGCCATCGAGTTCTCAAAGCCGGCCCTGGAAGCTTGATAAAGTGTCACGTAAGCGTGTAGAACATTTGTGTTATAAGCTTTGAAAGAAGATGTACTTCACCACCAAATGGATGGTGAATTAGTGTTTTGTTACAATAGTCAAAAAAACATTGAGCTGATTTCAAAAAAAAAAACATTGAGCTGAGAGAGATGAATTGAAGTAATAAGAGTCTAGCTAGGTAGAAGAAGTACTGGCAATATTTTATTAGAAATTGTACTGGGAATAAGTTAAAGTAGGAAGGCAATTATTGTTTCAACTAATGGCGGGTACATATTCTAATAACAGACATACAGACAAGCAAAACATATTTATAAATGTGTTTGAATGAGATACGAACTAGGATTGAAAATGAGATTAAAAATAATACACATGGTACACATATTATGGAAAGATGAATTGGAATAATGAAATTAATAATTAAGGGCACTTGTGCCTGCCGCCGTGGGTGGTCATGGTAGCATAGCATGGACAGAGTTCCTCGTTGCCGGCGGTTCCCGGGGGGACGCAGTTGCACCTGGCGCAACAAGTCCCGCACGCCCTCTTGCACAGCCTCGGCCGCGACGACAACTTGCACCTCACCGCGCATGATGCCCCACAATCTAATACATTAAATACATAATATTAATCATGTTCTTCTCATTTGATTCTTTACGTTTGGAGATGCAACACTTTGGTCATTAATGTCATTATTTATATACAATTATGATGTTTTAAAATTACGTTTCAAAATGAAAGTTTTGGTATTAAGTTCTTCTCGATCACAATTCAATACGAGTATATTTTTGGGAAATTTACTTAAATAGCACTAAAGCATAATAATTTTCCCTAAATAGCATCATATGTATTTTTTTCTCAATGTTGCAGTTTTAGTCATTATCCATTAGTGATTATTCAAGTAAATGTTCGCCATCACTGAACATTATTCCTCCTTTTGGACATTATTCAGTGTTATTTAGGGAATAAAATAATTTAAGTGCTATTTAAAAAAATAATTTAAATTTTAGTGCTATTTAATGTAAATATTTATACTCCCTCCGTCCCATAAAGTGTTACCCATTTTGACTAAAGTTGAAATTAAGGGAGGGATAATTTTGTGTTGACTTTCCAAAAATATCCTTTATGTGATGGGTAAAAGTAGGATGTGATGTGTAGACTATTAGGAAAAATGTATGATGTGATAGGTAGAGTTTGAAAAAGTAAGGGGTAAAAGTGGTTTTTTAATAGAAATGTATAAGGGATTATGGGACGCAATTTTTTTGAAACGTGTAAATCTTTTTGGGACGGAGGGAGTATATTTTTTCAAATTTTATGGTCAAAGTTTATAAGATTTGACCAAAAAAGTTAAAGTAAGAAGAAATATATGAAACGTGGATACAGTAAGTAAAAATTTAAAGGTAGGATTGAAAATAAATGAAGAAACCTATAGAAGTATCCTGGAGTGGGAAGCCCGGTTCTGCTCCGTACACCGCCGGTTCAGGAGAAGATTGAGCCATGTGAATAAGTGTGGAGAACACGAGGATGAGTACTGACCCAAGGAAGAAGAAGATGAACAAAGGCTTATTATTATGCTTATTATTAGAGAAGATTAATGAAACCGCCATATTATTATTGATATATATGCAGGAGTAATTATTTTTAAGTATATATTTTTATAAGCTCTATCGAACTATAAATATATATAGTTGTGGAAATTTAAGGGCAGAGGTGAGGGGTATTTAAGGATGATGATGGCAGAAAGAGACAATGATCGTAGAGGTTTGAAAATGTAATGTAGATGTGATTTACGGTGAAGGGGTATTAAAGGATGATGATTGATTACTTCGGGCCTATTTGGAAATAGTATTAGAGATTAGCATTAGCGTTTTGAAAAGATTCTTTACGGGCAGTGTTTAGCGTTAGTGTTTCAAAGCAATCTGCACCGTTAATGTTTTATCTAAAACGCTAACGCTAATCTCTAACGATATTTTCAAACAAGTCCTTCGTATTCAAATCACCACTTGGTATTTTCATTACGGAGTATTTGATTTCCACAAAATTAGAGAAAAAATTTAAAAAATAAAAAATATATGCGTGGTTAAAATTTATTTAGACAAATGAAAAATTTTATAATTCATATATTTATTACAGAGTAGTAGAAAGAAAATACGGAGTAAATTAAATGACAAATATTTTTTGGATTTCGTTCCAAAAATAGGAAGTGGATAATTTTTTTTTTAGAGATGGAAAGATCATTCATATAGGGTGTGACCGGGCTAGATATATATGTGTATGAGCGTAGGAAATAATATTTCGCCCGCTAGCTAAAACAGCGGAGATCGATCTTTATCATCAAAAGAATTTTCCAGCTTGGCAAGCTTTTGGAGCCTTCTCCAATTTCACGCCGGCCAAACAAGCCTTTGTATCTACTCCGCAGAACTAAATGTGTTAGGTGAAGAAGAGCTATCTTATACTTCTTCCATTCCAAAAAAAAACATACTTTTAACTATATAATTCCATTTTATTTTTCTTTTGTATCACTTTTAAAGATATTATTTCTTTTTTCTTAATTTTCATATTAAGCGAAAAGGTGTGATATTTTTTTGGGACATAATGTTGTTTTTGGTGCCTAAGTAATATAGAGTATAAAACAAAACAAAGTGCATGGAACGAAATCCATAAAAGAAGAAAACAGATCAGAATAGAAAAAAATAAAATATTCTCAATCGATAGTGGGATAAATAATTATGTTTGGAATAAACAAATGAATTATTATTGCATCTTCTAATTAAAATTATTGTAAGGATATGACGATCGAGAAGAGCGCATGTAATTAGAGAGTATCGTTACGTTCCCAGTGTTTTCCAATTTAAAATTTTTAGCATTTAATATGACAATCTTTGAACATAAATTAAATGAAATTAATATTAGGAATTGATAAACAACTATTTTTTTAGATTAGTATTGAAAAATAGTTTCAAAATATTATTTTATCTAATTATCATGTTATACTTCATTTAATTTTTACTTAATTATACGTTAAAAATTGATATTGTTCAATCCAGCTATAAAAAATGGGTAATTTACCTAAATAGGACTAAAATATAATGGCTTTCTCAATATATGACCATATGTTTTTATTTCCCAATGTAGGACTATTGGTTATTATCTATTAGTCATTATTCAACTAAATGTCCAGCATCACTTGGACATTATTCTTCTCACTAGTCATTATTAAGTCTTATTTAGAGAATAAAAAAGTTTAAGTCCTACATTGGAAAATGACTTATATTTTAGCCCTATTCACTGCAAATTTCACATAAAAAATCAAACCCGAACAAACATTTTGAGAAGGCGAGAATATGACTTATGTTTAATGCTCCATATGAGCTACTGATGTGTTTATTCTAAATTTTTCAAAAAATATGAAGTATATCGGAGTATGCTATATTCAAAAGAAGTGAGACTCCTTCATGTATTGTTAAATTAAGAATACAAAAATAAGAATACAGATGAAACAATTGAAAAATTTTTTAAAAAATATTAATTTCACCAAATTATTTTCTTGCATACTCCTACTTTAGACCATTCATTTTATTAAATTGATATATGAACATTTAATTTTTACAAATGCATAGAATGTGTACAATATACTACATCCGTCCCAAAAGGATTTACACATTTTGACTAAAGTTGAAATTAAGGAAGGGATAATTTTGTGTTGACTTTCCAAAAATACCCTTGATGTGATGCGTAAAAATAGGATGTGATGTGTAGATTACTACGTATTAGGAAAAAAGTATGATGTGATAGGTAGGGTTTGAAAAAGTAAAGGATACAAGTTTTAAAACATTGACTATAAAACATTTCAAAAAACATGAATAGCGAAAATAAATTTTATTTTGAAAAAGCATAAGAAATAAATTTGAGACCGATATAGTTTATGTTACTTTTTTTATATCATTTATTTATGAAAACATTATTAAAAATTGAAAAGAAATTTTTGAAAAATCCTTATGAAAACAAGGAAATAATGAAATGAAAATAGAAAAAAATGAAAAAAAACTACGTTAAAAAGAACTATTGATATTAAAAAAAGTTAACGTAGTTTTTTTCATTTTTTTTCTATTTTCATTTCATTATTTCCTTGTTTTCATAAGGATTTTTCAAAAATTTCTTTTCAATTTTTAATAATGTTTTCATAAATAAATGATACTCCCTCCGTTCCTAAATACATTACAATTTTTTTCTCTCTCTTTCGAGTTTACGCGATTTCATTAAGTATTTGATATAATAAAATATTCTTGTCACCTTTTGTTTTGTAGAACTTTTGACATAGTTTTTTAATATGTAACTTTTATATCTTATGGATATATCAATTTCTAAATAAAATGATTTCAAAAAGTAGAAGATTTTACTCCGTAACCCGAAATTTGTAATCAATTTGGGGACGAAGGGAGTATAAAAAAGTACTCCGTAACATAAACTATATCAGTCTCAAAATCATTTCTTATGCTTTTTCAAAATAAAATAAAAAATTGGGACATGTAAATAAGAAATAGGAAATGAAATGAAAAACTGAATAAGATAAAAAGTATTATAGACAAGAGAAAATGTCACCGTCTTAAAAATAAAAAAATGAAACTTTTAATGTTCTAAAAAAATCATTTGTGTTGTAAGGAATATTGAAAAAAATAAAGTTCATTGGATAAGGACATTTTTGTCATAATAAAATAAACTAATCGCATGGTAACCCCCTATGGTTTGAAAATGGAGCACCAATGCCCCTCCTTTATCAGATTTCAAATCTGGTGGAGGGGTATAGACGCTGCTTTTACAAACCATATGGATTTTAGGAGTATGTATTGAAAAGAAGGGGAGTTTTGGTGCCTATTTTTCAAACCACAGAACGGTTTAAAGTTATTAGGCCGCGAAAATATCAAAAAGCATAATTTCAAAATGGACTTTCTTTTTGCACAAAAAAAAAAGTCTTGTAGGTAAAATTTGTACTTAAATATCATACGATTAACGATTTAGATCAATTTAGATAAAAATGGTATCAAACAATGCATAATTTAACATGGATTTTCTTTTTGCACAAAGTAATTTTTAGGTAAAATTTGTACACTACCTAAAAATTGTGAATTTTCCTCCATGACATTTATATTCGTACTCGAGTAGTATCAAAAGTCTTACGAATTTAAGATTCATTGATATTGTCTCATATTTACTTTGACGAGAATTTTGTACACTTTTTCTTCGTATATTTCTATAGTTGAAATTCGTCTACGTATCCTCAATTTTCATAGACTGTTTTTGGGACTTGTATACTATCCTTCCCTCCCAATAAAGCTAGGTCTTATTTGATTTAGCACATAATTTAAATAAAATAAAAACGTGTGTTTTAAACATATTTAGGATGATTTCTTATATTTTTATTCAACAAATAGGAATTACAATGTAAATAATAAACATATAATGTCAAAAAACACTATAGAGTATCAATAAATAGTATCACGTTTTTAGTATAAATTTTATTTTAGAAATAAAAATGTCACTACTATTTTGACATAAGAGATACAGAGTACATTTCATTCCTATTTTGAGTGATTTAATTACTGGTGTGATTGGGAAATTAGATTCAGATTTTAAATATGAATTTGGTTCAAATTTCACGTTTGGAAAATTAAAAAATTTATATTTTTTGGATTTGTGTCAAATTCATCTTATTAATAACAAAATTCAACTTGAATTTCATACCCCTCAGCTTATCATTTGAAATTTCTAGAATTCAAATTTTAGGATTGAAATGTATGGATTCAAATAAAATTATAGTTTGTAAACACTATCTAATTTCATTTATCATTTTTTAGGCATTCATTTTCATTTATCATTAATAATTCAGGAAATAATTTCATTTATCATTGTTTATACTTTGAAGAAGGAAATTAAGTTGTATTAGCATCCAAAAAGTGGAGTGGATCAGAAGATCCAAGAAGAAGAACGTTTGATCTGAGGGAGCATCTGCTTGTCTTCCTCAAGAGCAATCATCCCCAGCTGAGATGGATCTTCGAGCATCATCCTCGCCACAAGGTAACCCGCAACCGACCACGTCTGCATCTTCCTCGCCTGTTTCCCCACGAACCGCCCCAGCTTCCCGTCGTAATACTCCGGCCACCCGTCCTTCAACAGCCGCCCCTCCGCCATCTCGATCGCCCTCCTCCCGATCTGCGGTCTCCCCGTCTTGATACTCGCCGCCGTCAGCAGCCAGAGCAGAACCGGCCACGTCCCGCCGTTGTGGTAGCTCCACCCCGTGTTCTTCGGATCGCACCCCGTCACGATCCTCCACTCGTGCCCTTCCATCGCCGGGTAACAGATCTTCAGAGGCATCTCCCCGACCAGATCCGCCCACCGCGACTCGATCAGATCCATTATCGCCGAAGACTGCTCCGGCGTGGCCAGGCACGACAGGATCGCGACGCAATTGCCCAAGCAGAACCACCGGAAATCCATCCTCGCCGGGCTGACGTTGCCGATGAAGTAACCGCCGCGGCTGGGCATGAAATCGAACACCCAGTCGGGAAGAGAGTCCGGCATGACGTTGAACTTGTTGACGGCGGTGTGGGAGTACTCCTCCGTCTTGTAACGGTAAATGTCGTTGAGCTGTTTGATGTCCAGCCAGAAGTAATTCCTCATGTGGTAACTCAAGGCGTGAAGGCGTTTGATTATTTGGTCAATACATTCTCGGCTTTCTTCATCTTGCTTCAGCAAAAGCAAGGCACATCTTAATGCCATAAAGAAAAGAGCTTGTATTTCTATTGGATATCCATAAATTCCCTGCAAAAATATAATAGTAGAAATTATTTAAGGTCTTGATGATAGACTGATAGAGGAACTAGCTCAATCAAAAGCTGAAATCATATCGTGTGGGGGCTAACCATCCTGCGGTCGATCATGGAGCAGCCATCAGCACATAGGAGGGTTGGAAATGTGTCGAATCCTTCGGAGAGACATAGTGTGAGGATGAGCCTTATGCCCCTTTGGCATTCGGGCAATTCGGCTAAGGAAGTGTCCCCAGTTGACTTGGTGTATGCGCGAAGCAATATGATCCACCAGAAGCCGGAATCAACAGGAGCCACTCTGCCAATGGCACTCTCACCAAAGTCTGCAATGAGGGTCTCAAAGTTCCTGACTGGGTCATGGAGCACCTTGAAACTGGCTGGCATCACCCCTTCCCCCAACTTGAACTGGTCTATCTTCTTCTCCCACGACTGAAGCCGGAGTGTTTTCAAAAGAAAATTTCTCACTATTTCTGGTTCGCCATTCATCAAGAAAGCCAGAGCACTCGGCACAAAGTCTCTCACAAATACCTGTCAACATTTGGGAAATCACACACACACACACACGATTGAAGAAGAGGCCAAGTCTTAACTGTTGGTCATATCAATGTCACCTGGTCGTAGTTTAGCTCTTCAGTGGAGTGATCAAGTGCTGCAATTGTCCCAACGGGTTGGCCACGAAAGGAAACAATGGAACGCCTTAAGGCATCCCATGCTTCAGACATGAGGGGGTGTGGTTCAAACCCAGAAGTTGGAGTGCCCATGGAAGAAGACCTCCTTCCTGGGGAGAACACGCTGTTGTCTAAATAATGGTCACTTGAAGGCAATTCACTGAAGGACCTGTCATCAAATGATCTGTTTCGTTCTATGCTTGTCGGTCTAGACCTTCCCAGTGACCTAGAGAGATCACAATCTCCGTTTTCGAACAAAGAGCCCCCCGGTTCTTGATGATGTTCCATCGTCCCATTTTGAGGCACGGCTAGAGGGGCGTGCGACATTGTTTGCTGTTTTCAAAATTTTCAAGAATCAAGATGATGGGTAACCAAATGGAATTGACACCAACCTAAATAAGAACCTGCACTTTCAAGACTCCATATATCATCATCATCATCAGACCTCAGTTAATGGGCACATTTTTACAGACACACATAAGGAAGAGACAAAATACTCCTTAGTACGAGCATTTTAGCCATATAACTCCGCATTCATTGAAAACACAAAAACAAATTAATGCAAAAATACAAAAGAAGAAGAAGAAGAAGAAGAAAGTGAAAGACCTCGTGAATAACGAAGAACCGTAGCAAGAGCGAACCGGAGAAGACGAGGTAGAAGGAGGATGAAGGCCTATATAGATAAAGAAAAGGTACGTGATGGCGTGAAGTTCATTGGCTGCGAACCGGGGAATTCCGGTCAACAAGTTACACAGACGGAAATGTGCGCCGGTGAAGTACTTCGAATTTGGTTTTTTTTAAAAGAATGTTGGGAAGATCAAAAGTTTTTCGACTATACTGTGTACTCAAACTCTATGCCAAATTTATGCACTAATATTTAGGTTTCTAATAGTTCATTCTGATACAATGTACAAGTGTGATTAAAAAAATTTGCAGTAGCATTTTGTTCTACGTGAGTGTGAGTCATTACCATAGTATCACATTGGTACAAAATGAAGGTGCATCCTGTGGTGTAAAGTACGGCCGATCTCGAAAAATGAAAAAATGAAATTAACTCGGTCTGAAATATACCTTTGGGGCCCTATTTTATTATTTTAGAATTTTATGCTTCAAAATTAATGATAAATTTAAGAATACGGGACTCTAAAATTTTGTGATCATGTGTGGTTGGCCACTTTGCACCCCCTCTAGGGCACTCATGATGTACCATGTGAGGTACAAGTAGCTTATTTCAAAGTTTATTGGGATATCTCCACACTACAATGACTACACTACTTGGTGTAGGTATACCAAGTTGTGCGCCGAGTTTCACCAATACTTTTGATGATGGTTCACATTTACACAAAATATCAATGCAATTACAAAATGTTGCAGTGTCATTTGTATCAATGTGAGCCATCAAAATTGTAATACAATTCCTTGGTGTAAATGGAGTGGTGTATCAAAATATGTTTAATTCGAAAAATACTAAGGTTACAAATATAATTATCACAAATTAAAATACATAAACTTGTCATTTGTATATATAAATTTTTACTTTTTGATTGCTCCGTACGTATTTAAAATTATTTTATTCTCTTGGTGGGGTGAACAAATGGTAAAAATGTTTTATGGTTTCAATCATATGGAGTACAAATCTATCTTTCTCAAACTATACATAATTTTAAGTTTTCCAATTAGCTTTAGATTATGAATTGTGATTTCAGATTGTATAAATTATGTTCTAACAGTGATTTTTACTAAATCTCGGAGTAACTGTTGTCTAGTTTTGATTTAGTACATCTGTTTTTTCAAGACTCACCGTACTCACAAACATCCTCTTTGTACCTTGTACTTTGCTTATTTGCAATTTAAATAGGGCAAAGTTCCCATGATATTGTCTGACAATGTCATGGGATGACTCGGGAGCGTTCTGATACCCCGTTCATAAAATTAAAAGTTCATATCCTCCATAAATATGAAATTGATAATTATAAACTATCATATTTGATTTTTGTTTCTTAAGGGGCATCTCATCGTTACTATAGCTTTTGTTAATTTCATAAAAGAAAGATGCACTATATCATAGAGGGTTTTAATGGAAAAAAGCTAGAGATGCGCCAAAATGGTGTGCCGAATTTATACAGGCATACACAGATACTAATAGTGTACTTCTAGCATAATCCTTTTTAATTTTATTTGTCCAGATAATTTTAATGTGAAGATACCTTGAAATATACTCCCTACGTCCTAAAATGATCTTCCCAGTTTGTTTTACGAAGTTTGACTGTAACTATTTTCAATTCAATTTATTTGATTGTAAGTGTAAAATTTAACAATAAAATTATATATTTAAAACTACATCAAGAGGTTTATAAAATAAGAAATGACATGAGTACATTATTTTATTAAATAACTAAAAACAATAGGTAAAGAAAGTTATTTTAGTTTGACCATATGAATAATGTATGAGAAGATCATTTTAGGACGGACATTGGCGGATCCAAGAAGAGATGAATGGGGGCACTTGCCCCCAATGAATTTTTAACTTTTTAAAAGAGTATCTTAATTTTTTAAAAAAATTGTTATGCCCCCATCATAAAAAATTAAATGCCCCCACCAAAAAAATGAAATGCATGTCCCAATAAAAAAATTAAGTTGAAATCAAATATGTATTGTTAAAAAAATAATTGTAAAATATTTAAAATAACAAAAACATAAGATGAAAATAAAAAATATTAAGAGAAATAAGAGAAATAATTTTCTAGGGTGTATTTTTAAAATTTTTCATTAATTATTTGAATATTTTTTAGCTGTTTTTTTTGTAATTTCACATTTGTTTTTGGAAAAAATTGCGGGTGCTACCCCAAACCTCGTAGAAGTCTCGCCCCGGGTCTCTTCCATTCCTGGATCCGCCGCCACTCACTGAGTACGGATGAAATAGGGAGTATATAAATGATGAAAACAATGGGAAAACGTGTTTTATTATCCACCCACAATTACTCAGAATTCACAAACAATCGCTCTTCCCTATCTCTGATTTCGTTTGTCATTTCTTTCTCTCCTCCTAACGGCTCTCTCCTCCTAAACGGTCATATTTCTCTCAAACCTGCAAATTCAAATCTGCGACATCAATGGCGATACGGGATTCCCCTCGGAGTGCCTCTTTGGATCGGGTAAAATGGCGGAAAGTGTACGCCGCCATGGGGTACTTGTTGCGAACGCAGCAGGCGCAGATTCAATTCCTCCTTAAAGACAGGGAACTTCTTGTAGACAGGATCAAGTTAGAACACGAACGCTGGGTTTCCATGGTTAAATTGTCGCAAGATCAAACCGCTCAGGTAAAATTGAATTTTTTTTCGGTGTTCCCTGGAATAAAGTTAGGGTTTTGGGGCGGNAGAATGGAAAGTGATTTTAGGGCAAAAAGAGCGAGATGCTTATATGCTTAGAGATAAACTTGGTTTGTGATGCTTTAGTTTCTTTATGATTTTTTCCCCAAGATTTTGCTTTGCTGCAAGGAATTTGTCTGTTCCTAAATTCATTAAGCCTACTGATTGAAAAAATGATGGAGAATAATGAATGTTATTTCAGATTTTCACTCTAAATTTTGAATTTCTAGGTGGTTGAAAAAAAGAATTTCCAGAAAAAATCTGCTGATGCATTGGGCAAAGTTAACATTCTCCTTGCTAAGAGACACATATTCCACTGAATTGTTGTCATTTTGGCATGCATGATTTACTGGAATGCTTTCTCATTATCATGTTCTTGTTGTTTACACGATGCAGAGAAAACAACTGATGAGTTGCAGGGACTCAGAGAATGTCATGGCATTCTTTCTTCTAAATGCTCTGAGACAGAAGTATGTTGTTTCAGTTTTTGTGGCACATTCAGTTTGGCTTTCGTTACACTGCTTATGTGATCAAAGATTTCATTTGTTTTCATTTCTGCAGGGTGTTTCTGACAAGAAAAATGAGAAGGAGAAAAACAAGTCATTAATGAGCGAATTGAGGAGGCTGAAACTTGAAATCCAGCAGGTTTCTGCTAACAAAGACGGTGAAATTTCAAGTCTGGTCAGGGAAAAGAGCTTCATCTGGAACCAATATAGCACACTGGAGAATCGCATGAATGAACAACTGAGGGTAAAATGTGATCAGCTTGATACAGCTAATGAAAAGATCAAGTTGCTTATGAAAGACAACGAGGAACTTCAAACTGCCTGCAACGATTTGAATAATCAAATGGCAAATATGGAAGCTGTATTAGTTAAGCGAAACAGTGAGATTGCCAGACTTTCTAGGGAATTAGAGAAGTTGAAGGACAAAAGTGTTCCTGCAACACCTATGCTGCAACGCTGCTCAACTAGGTCAGGAACCTCGCTGAGGGAGACAACCACCAATGGAATGAAAAGGAAGGGTGTAAATCCGGCGATTACAGTTTCAATGAATCCAACAGCTTCTGAGAAGGTCCGTCTTTTTTTATTTTTTATTTTAATAAAAAAATGGTTTTGTTGGGTTCAATGCACTCTCTTTGCTTGTTTTTCTATGGATCTGTAGTTTCAGATTAAATATCTCTCAGGAAATTGTGTGTTTGAGGTTGTTTCTTAGCAATTTAGTATTTTAAATACAAGATATCATTTTCTTGAATCAATTTTATTTTTGTGCTTGAATTAAATTATAGTTTTGTGCTTGTAAGTTAAGCATATTTATATTAGACAGAGAGGTATATAACTTAATGTTTTATAGGAAAAAATTACCATTACTAAAACAACTAAGGGAGCCTTAAAAAGATGTTTTTTTCAGTTGTAGTATAGATGCACTTTTTTCTTGATTACATCAAAATACAAACTCTTGCAATGTGTGGGGCCCATTTTTAAATGGCTGCATCCAGTTTATAATCTTTGTAGTTATGTTTATGCAGTGGTTTAAACTTAAGTTGTTCATGTTTATTCTCCCACTTGATGAGCTCAGGGAGAAAAATAATGATTAAAAAAAGCAGTCTTTGAGATTTATATATCACAATAACTGTTTAAATTATAACTATTTTCAGGGAAATGAGAATTCGAAGAGGAAGCGAATGGATGACACCCCAAAACTGTTTTCTTCTTCGTTCAAAATACCTAAATTGAAGACCCCTGCCTCTCAGGTTGGATAATGAATTGATACGATCATCATATCCTCCCGATCAATCTTGTGCTTCTTTTTTCTCCGCATTACGAAACTTAACTTGAAATTGAGGTGTGTATATGTATCTGGCTATCTGCATATATAGAAAGCTTGACATAGCCCATGTGTGTTAGGATCAGTGGTTCAAAACAAACACTTTAATTTAGAGATGTTTTTTCACTATATTGGCATTGTCTTGTCTGTCTACAAATTGATATGATCAAACACACAATACGCACACACGCACACACACTTATTACACAGGTACTTCACAGAACTATATGGCAATGATCAAAAGCATAGAACCCAAGCTAGCATAAACAAAAACCAACCCCACATGGTTAACCTGTATAAGACCACAACAAGAAAAGGAAGGCGAGGAGGAAGATGAAAAACGCTCGATAACGGACCATGGCAGGAGGCAGGACAAGCAGCAAAAGCAACCCCCATAGGGAACCCGAACGGCCATTAACAGTACTACTTCTCATGGGCTGGGACATCGGCCTTCTTGTCAGCCAACGGGCGTTACCCATGGTGACATGCACATAGAGGAGGACGAAGATGATGATCAAGTATAGCTGGAGAAAACCATGGTGGGTGCTGCTGCTGCTGGTGGTGGTTCTGGTGTTGTTGTACGGTTCGTCGTTCTCCAAGAGCAGGAAAAAGAAGAGCACGCCTGAGAAAACCATGAGAGGCAAAGGGGGTGCTGAGATTGATGGTGATGGTGAATACATGCTTTGCTGCTCTCTCCTGTTCAATTCTCTCCTCTCTTTTCTCATTTTCCACTTCTATGGTATCTCTCTCCCTCTCTCTATCTAAAGATAATTAAAAAGATAAATTGGATAAGTGTGCTTAAATTTCTCTGATTAGTTATATATATGTGTTATTAATAATTACTACTTGAATGAGTTTTTTGTGCTATTTACCTTCAATTTTTTCAGAAATTGCACGATGAACTTTAAAAATTATACCAATGGTCCTTGAACTTTTAAAAATGTTGCATTAATGATCTCATTGCACCAAATATGAGAGTATGTTAATCACATGCTCGTTCAGTGCGAGTGTGGATGGATTCATCTATAGTCATATATCACACTTAAATTCTGAATATATTTTCCTAAATATTATTTTTTATTATTTTAAAAATGCCCATATAATTATTTTTTCCTTTAGTCGTCAATAACCGAATTTGAAACTTTCTGTCAATTAAGCTCTCCATCAATCAATTAGTTTTTTAATGAATTCATACATCTTCTTCAAGAGGTATATTGATGAGTGCTGATTAATGAGCTTCCAAATTTGTTACTTACAGAGGAACTACTGAAGCAATATTCTAAAATGTTTAATGACCATTGATGTAAATTTTAAAATTTAAGGAGAGTTTATGTTAATTCAAAAAAGTCGTGGAAGAGATAGGAGCAAAAAAACTCCTACATGACTGGACAATTAAGGGATACGTAAGAAGAGAATGGTGGAGGGTTTAGGTGTGTTTATTTGGTTAAACGGTGGTTGCCACGTAGGGCTAATGAATTACCAGCACTTTCTTATTACGCATTTTTTCTCAAACTCGCTCTCTACGGTGGTGCCAAAATAGGTGTGGTTTAATTTAAAGAGTGTATATATGACGCAATTTGATTTTATTAATGCAAGTAATAAATTTGTTTAAATAATGCCAAATCTAAATAGATAAATGTATGGAATATGTTCAGGTAACCTCGAGAAGAATATAGTCCACAATGGTCAATTACAACTTACTCTATTACTCCGTCAGTCTAAAACTATCTTTCCAGTTACTATTCACACAGTCAAACCTAAGTCACTTTCTTTTCTTATTTTCGTTAGCTATTTGATAAAATAATATAGTTTTGTCACCTCTTGTTTTGTAAAACTTTTAATGTAATTTTTAAATATATAAATTTTATTTTTTAATTTTACACCTACAATCAAATAAATTGAATTGAAAAAAAAGTCGATCAATCCTCGTAAACACAAACGGCAAGATACTTTTAGGACGGAAGTAGTAACTATAAAAAATATCTTGTCAAATATGTGGGTAAGAAAAATGTCTTGTAAAAAATGTTTTATCGATATTTGCTCCCTCAGATAAAACTTACTACTACCCGATTATCTTTTTTTATAATACTACTTCCTCCATCCTAAAACTATCTTTTCTGTTACTATTCACCCAGTCACACTTAAATCACTTTCTATATCTATTTTCGCTACTTATTTGATAAAATGATATAGTTTTGTCACATCTCGTTTTGTAGAACTTTTAATATAATTTTTAAATATGTAAATTTTATTTTTTTAATTTTACACCTACAATCAAATAAATTGAATTGAAAATAAAGTCTATCAAACCTCGTAAACACAAATGTGAAGATGATTTTAGGACGGAAGGAGTATATTTCAGCGTTCATTTTATTCTTCATTTTTTTCTCATAAATATAATTGTAATACCAGTAAAAATAATGATAAAATAACATCTGAAAATATAAGTCGACCCTCGACACAAATTGGTCTGCATGAATTCAATGTTATAAAATAACAGAACTTATGAAATAAAGGCTATAGTTAATAAACTTTGACTCGAGGAAAAAAACAAAGTTAAAATTTATATAGAGACCAATGGGTATTTTAAAAGAAAGAAATCACCCTACGTAGCACTCTAATTCATCTAATACTGCGCATTTAGTACTGCTTATTGTTTTTTACCAAATTAGCCATTTATGTTGTCAATCTCTTCCAATCATACCCTTTATGTTGTCAATCCCTTTTATCTATCCCACTATCAATTGTTTCAATTCCTCTTTCAACTCCTATATCAAATTCGGACTCACATAATGTATACTTTGTGCATAGTGGCATAATACTCTTTTTTATCAAATTCTTTCGTCAATCAATTAAATGTAGTTTTGAATAAATATATATAATAAAAATACGATATATCAAAATTATATCATAAAAATATGAGAATTTTAAATACTTCTTCATCCCAAAATAGGGCTCTTATTCGATTTACGATGTTTGATTGAAGTTATTTTCAAATCAATATAAGTAAAAATTATTGTATAATTAACAAATAGGAATTATATATTAAAAAAACTACATAAAAATTTTTATAAACAAGTGGTGACAATGTGACTTACATATAAAACTACCAATGTTATAAATTATTATTTGACTTTCATATTGTACAAACAGCTTGTGGTTGATTTTATGACAATAGGGTTTTACCATGAAAGAGATTGTTATGAAATGTGTTACTCAATATGGTGGCTATAAATATATGGGCAGTACAGATTGATCATGTTATGCAAACGCTTTTTGGCAGTGAATTTGTCTTCTATATATAATGTGGCAGACAAGAGTGAAAATATGGCAGTGTATAAAAGTTAGCGACCTAAACAAATTTGTATGTACTTCATTAAATTCCATTAATAATAGGGCAGTGAAATTAGACATACATATAAAACTGCCAATGTTATGAATTATGAATTGAATTTCATATTGTGCAAAAGCCATGTGCTTCGTTCTATGACTATTGGATTTGAACATTAAAGAGTTCGTTATGGAAACGTGTTACTGAATAGGGGTTGATATTTTTTTGACAGTGTGGAATAATCAACTTCTAGCTACACTTTTTGGAAATGTCCTATGACCATGTTTGCCTAGTGTGTTTTGGTCGAATGGGATTTATATCTAAAAATCTCAATGTAATAAATTATTCATTGAGTTCCATTGGAAGCGGACACAAAAAAATCACCAAAATGACTAGTGCTTGAATAACTTTAATAAACAAAGTATGAAGTGTAAGCTCAAAGATTTTTGGCAGTGTGGAATGCTTGTGATCTAGGTATACTTTTTGGCAGTGTGTTATGTCCTATGTTTTGGCCAGTGTGCTATGTTGCACAATTTTACATAATGTTGCAGTGTATGCTGCTTACAAAGTCTTAAAATTTACAACATAATACCTTCAATATCCATTTCTTTTCAGTACCACATAAATGAAATTCAGCATATGTCTAATATTAACATCTTCTAACATTATACAAAATCAAGAAAGACCAAAAAAAGCCAAACCCATGTTTGGCCAGTGTGTTTTGGTGTAATAGATTATTCATGAAATCAGTCATACATTTTTTGGCAGTGTGAAATTCATAAATGAAAACAATCATATACATTTTTGGCAGTGTGAAATTCATACATAAAAAGAGCTATACATTTTTTGGGCAGTGTAGAATTCATACATGAAAATAGTCATACATTTTTTGACAGTGTAGAATTAATACATGAAATCACTGCCACATAAATCAATGGACATTACACTACAACATGAAATTAATGAACACAATAATACATTTACACACTGCCATAAGGTATAACAACATATATCCATTCTACACTGCTACATTAAAAACTCACATATAAAAAACCACACAGCCCACTACACAATTACGAGTGAACAACCACACTGCCCAAAATAATCATATTTTTTGGCAGTGAATAATGAACATATGCTGTTTAATTAAAGGATAAAATCGGAATTACAGGTACGAAACATATAGCACTGCTATTTAAAATGCAGTATGGAAAACTTCACAATGTAAGAAAATACGGCATATTCCGCTTATTACTTGAAGTGATTTACCATTTACAGGTAATACTCCGTAGATTTTAGAAGGGAAAAATAAAGGGAATTCTTACATTACAAAGATTATTACTTCTACGCCATTGTTTATTTCAAATTTTATGTTTCTGTATTAGAAGAGTCTGAGATTAAGCGTCTGAATATCTGGAAAAGTCATACTCGCAATAGATGAAAATTTAGTGGCAAGAGTTTGTAAGATTTGTGTGTTTGCTAAACGCAGTGCAGCATATAGAATTTGAAATATCAAGGATTTGAACAAATGATAACTTTCTGAAAAGCCAGCGCTTGAGAAAGAGTTTAAACAGAGGAAAGGCGAATCAATCAAGCATATGAAGAGTCATTGAATGAAAATGATAATCTTTTTAAAAAAAACGTAGCTTAGGAAATTGAGGGTGTCTGGTCTTGGTGAAGAAGCTCTTATTAAGAGTCATACTCTTGATTTCCGTCATTGTATTCCTCTTCTTCCTCGTCATCAGCAGTGGCATCTTGGTACTGCTGATACTCCGCCACCAAATCATTCATGTTGCTCTCCGCCTCCGTGAACTCCATCTCATCCATCCCCTCCCCGGTGTACCAATGCAAGAAGGCCTTGCGCCTGAACATGGCCGTAAACTGCTCGCTCACCCTCCTGAACATCTCTTGGATTGAGGTCGAGTTCCCAACAAACGTCGACGACATCTTCAGCCCGGTTGGAGGAATGTCGCACACACTTGACTTCACGTTGTTGGGGATCCACTCGACGAAGTAGGACGAGTTCTTGTTCTGGACGTTGATCATCTGCTCGTCCACCTCCTTGGTGCTCATCTTCCCTCTGAACATGGCAGATGCAGTCAGGTAACGCCCATGTCGGGGGTCCGCTGCACACATCATGTTCTTGGAGTCCCACATCTGTTGGGTCAGTTCCGGGACAGTGAGGGAAATGTATTGCTGAGACCCGCGAGAGGTGAGCGGAGCAAATCCCACCATGAAGAAATGGAGGCGGGGGAAGGGGATCAAATTCACAGCCAGTTTCCGAAGGTCGGAGTTCAGCTGCCCGGGGAATCTTAAACAACAGGTTACTCCACTCATGGTTGCAGAGATCAAATGATTGAGGTCGCCAACTACGTATAATAACGAAAAGAAAGAAGAAGCATTGTTAATGATGAATAGCCACTATTAATCATAATAGTTGTAATGCATGTTTCGCTTTGCCAAATTAACAAGGGTATGTTGCAAGGTGACTATGAAATTGGCTCTAAATCAAATAGTTAAGAGCCAGACCCATATAAAAAATGAAATTTGAATGTAGTTATGGACTTGAGGAGACGTGTGTAAGTACTCACAGCTTGGGGTGCTGAGTTTCAAGGTCCTGAAACAGATATCATAGAGAGCTTCATTGTCAAGGACCATGCATTCATCTGCATTCTCCACCAGCTGATGAACAGAGAGTGTTGCATTATAGGGCTCCACAACTGTGTCAGAGACCTTTGGTGATGGGAAGACAGAGAATGTGAGCATCATTCTATCTGGATACTCCTCCCTTATCTTTGAAATCAAGAGAGTTCCCATGCCAGAACCAGTACCACCTCCAAGTGAGTGGCAAACCTGGAAACCTGTCATTAAACAAATGAGGGTAATGAGAAGCACCACTCAAAATCTATTTCTTTGAAACAAGTTTCATTTAAACATTGAATATGCTTGATTGCTTGCTACTCATTGGAATGAGATTTAGCTTTAGACAGTGTGACTTGTTCATTCATGTACGTGAAAGTTAAGATAAGAGTATCCATCAATCATGCAGCAGCACATAAAAATTATAGAGTAACAAATTAAATACCTCATTCTAGGGGTAGTCCGCATTGAACATTAAATCAAGACCCACATAAATGTGAACAAATTTATAAAATAAAGACACGAATAATACTACTACAAATTATTCCAAGTGGGTGAGTGAGGGTGCGTCCCTACTTAACTAAAATCCATGTTACTCATAAATGTGGACAATAGTAGCAGAAAAAGCAATCACTGCAAACCCATTGCTAGTCACATGATGCAGTCTTCAAAATGCAGGACATTGATTGACTAAGATGTAAATGGTTTTATCTCTCCCTCCAAACCATGGGCCCGCAAACTCGGAAACACTAATGGTGTTCATCCACTCAAAGAATCCATTCTATTGTGGACTTGGAGACGGGCACAACTCCATAATGTACAATAAATATATGGCCAGCCTTCACTTACAGTTACCAAGAAAACATGATGAAGAGATGGTATATTTTGGGTATTCATAGTTTCAAATAAAATTATTGGATTCAGATCTGGTAGATTTAACTCCATCTGTTTTTAATAGAAAAAACCATTGAATCTAGAAGATAAGGTTAAAGTTCATCAAGATGACTGGTGGAGTAATTTAACATGAATTCAACTTAACCTGATCGAGTTCCGGAAATTTTCCATGCATTTCAAAGCATTTTAACTCAATGTTATGAAACTTAGAACCAAAAGGCTACAAAAAAATACAAATAAAAGAGAACATATAGCCAACGTAGCTGAAGGTAAAGGGGAAACTAATATTGAAAGGGATCTAGTTCCAGCATAGCGTTCTTAATGTGTACAAAATGCAGAATCATATATATGTATAATGTGAGAATTAAGTTTTGATTCAGTTAATCATGAAAACCATTTGTGCTGTATGAATAGTTTCAGACAAAATAGTAAAGGTTTCACCAGAGTATAGACATATCTCTTCTCCTCTAGGACATATGACATATGATTAAGCTGAGTGGATTAAAATTGTTGTCCGCAAAGAGGCTTCTAATTTCAAAATCAAAAGCAAACACTAAAAAAGCAATGTTTGATACCTCATTTGAATGTAGAAAGCGATTACGGATTATGCAAAAATCAGATAGTAACGGAGCATATATATTCAAAAAAACAACAGCAACAGCATAAATCGAAACCCAATATGCGCTTGAAGTCCACGAGAGCGTCGATACCTCACATACGCAAACAATTATGGTGTGTATGACAAACAAATTTAAAAAAAAAAACAATCTAATATGGAAGGAAACCGAAACGAATTATCACCTTGCAAACAATCGCAATTCTCAGCTTCCTTGCGAACAACATCGAGAACGGAATCGATCAGCTCAGCTCCTTCGGTATAATGACCTTTGGCCCAGTTATTTCCAGCACCGGACTGTCCAAAGACGAAATTGTCCGGCCTGAAGATCTGGCCATACGGTCCAGATCTGATGCTATCCATGGTTCCAGGTTCCAGATCCATGAGGACAGCGCGGGGGACGTAACGGCCGCCGGAAGCCTCGTTGAAATAAACATTAATGCGCTCGAGGTGGAGATCGGCCGCGGCGCTTCCTTCTTCGCCCTTGTAGCGGCCGGTCGGATCAACGCCATGCTCGTCACAGATAACCTCCCAGAATTTGGAGCCGATTTGGTTGCCGCACTGGCCTCCCTGGATGTGTAAGATCTCCCTCATTATCGAATTCCCCTGTCGATTTCGATCCCTCTCTCTCTCTGTCTAGGTTGAATTTGATTAATGGCGGTGAGGGAAATGGAGAGGGAGGGAGGGAGAGACAGAGAGAGAAAGTGTGTCCGTAGTATTTATTGCGGGAAAGAGGAGAAAGATAGGAGATATTTCAGGCAATATGGAGGGTACACAGGGGCACGTGAATTGCTGCTGTCATTTTAACTCATTTTGGCCCGTTTGGACCCGACGACCCATTACCACACTCCAGCTCGAAAATGTACTCCCTCCATTTGAAAAAATCATTCCCATTTGATTTGGGGGCAAAAATAAAGAAGTGTTAAATTATAGTTGATTTCCAATTTTGCCCCTGATGTGATGGGTAAACGTAAGATGTGATGGATAGATTATTAAAGAAAAAATATAATGTGATAGGTAGGGTATGAAAAAGTAAGGGTAAAAGTGGTTTTTTAATAAAAAGGGGAAGTGTTTTGTTGGAAGTAGAAAAAATAAAAGAGGAAGTGTTTTTGAGAACGGAGGGAGTACAAGATTTTGTCCTCAATAATTTTGTTCTTAGAAATACAAAGAATAAATTATCAATGTTAGTCAATTGTCAATTGATATTTATAAAATTGTTCATTTAACATGAATGGAGTGGATTTAGCCATAATAAAGATGGATATAGAAACATCCAATAATACATTGCGACAATTTTTTAGGTTTGAATTCGAGTTGATATGTATTGCGATTTGCGAGCTTAACAGTTGAAAATCAAATTCGACTCATGCAGATACCCACAATTTTCGAATGAGATCAACTTGCATTAAAATATTATGAAAACAATTAAAAGTATCTATTTCAAAACAAAATATCTTTCGTGTATTCTTTCGTGTCTTGTCGATAATCGATATTAAAAGTGAAGGGCGCAAGGTAAATTTCAGAAATAGTACCCGATCTTTGAGTTATTTACTCTATCTGGTCTTAAAAATATTTCATGTTTTGACTTTTTTTGGTCAAATAGCGATACTTTGACCTCTATTTAAACATAATCTAAATAAATAAATATATAAAAAATTTGTTAGATCAGGATTATATCTTAAGATTAATCTAATTATATTGAATTTATATTAGAATTAAATATACTTTTTTCACAATACGTGATCAAAGTGTGCTACTCTTTGATAAAAAAAGTCATAACAGAGAAAGTTTTTAAAACTAGAGAGTGTGTATAATTTTAGTACTTAGACTTTATTTTCTTCTTGCCAAAATATCTAAAAGTTGAAAGAATTTATAAAAGTACCTGGAGCCGGTTTTTAAGTTAAAGTTAGTTAAGTTTGGACCTAACTTAACCTTTGTATATTTATAAATTTTAATTTTGACCTCTCTCTTTCTTCTCTAAAAGGGATGGAAATGAGACTAGCGAAGAAGAAAGGATAGTGAATCCTTGAAATAAGTAGTGAGGTCAAAATGAAAAATTAAAATCTATGATTATGCCAAAATGAGGGTAATTTCATGTATCGTACACTAACTTTGACGTTTATTTCGCTTTGATATATAAATTTTGTTGTCTCTCAGAAAAGTACACCAACTTACCAGTTTATTTCACCGACAGTATTTTAGTTGATTTTCAGGCACTCAGCCAGTTACCAATCTTACGTGGATGCCTACTCGGCGCACCCAATCCTACATGGATGCCTACTTTTCCATTTTTTTACAATATTCATCATTTTTAATATTAAACTTATATAAATTAATGCAAATAATTTTTATTAATAAAAATAGATAAATAATTATAAATAAAATAAAAGTATAAATTCAAAATTAAAAAAATAAAAAGATTAAAATTAATTAAATATTAATTATTGGAATTAAAAAATAAAATTGAATTTAAAAAATTCAAAATTGATTACATTACAGAAGGGTTTAGAATTAAAACAAATGAAATTGAAAAAAAATTAGGAAAAAATAAAAAGATTAAAATTAATTAAAAATTAATTATTGGAATTAAAATATAAAATTGAAATTAAAAAATTCAAAATTGATTACATTAAAGAATGGTTTAGAATTAAAACAAATGAAACCCGCCAAAATATTGGGAGCAGCCTGCAACTGGGTAAAACCTGGAGTGTAACCTCACATTACAGTGCCCAGAAATCCAAATAATGCTCAAATCATAGTGCACTTCAACTGGAATAGAAATCCAACTGCAGACCTTGATTAAGCATCCCAAGTCGCTCCTAAACCCCAAAAAATTAGCCATCAAATGTGTTGGAAACGAGGCCAATTGAGACAGTAACTCGTTGAGTTTGACATGCGAATTCTCCAATTTCCAGCAGCGAAATCAAGAAACCAAGCCTCGGAATGGATTCCTTGGCTCCAAACGATTCAAGAGCTCAAAAACTCATGCCAAAAACATCAACAAAGGGGCTGGAATCGGAAGTCTCAAAAATGATGAATGTTGTAAAAAAATGTAAGAATATGCATCCACGTAGGACTGGGTGCGCCGGGTAGGCATCCACGTAGGATTGGTAACCGACTGAGTACTTGGAAACCGGCTAAAATACTGTCGGTGAAAGAAACTAGTAAGTTGGTGTACTTTTCTGATAGAAAACAAAGTTTGACTACCGAAGTGAAATAAACGTCAAAGTTGATGTACCATTCTTGAAATTTACCCGCCAAAATGATTGTGGAACTTAACTTTGGGCACACGTGAAAATTTTTAAAATTTAAGAATTTTACGAGGGAAAATAAAGTTTAGGACTTAAGGTGTAGAAATGATAATTGAAATTTTTTGAAGGGCACGGCCGAGTATGAATTTGGGCTTGCAAAGTTGAGCAGAAGTAAACCCCGGCCCATGGAATGGTGCATAAATATCGCCGTCTATGAACCCTAATCCCGCAGCCCCCCGAACCTAAGCCTATTTATCGGTACATCACCGGTGGCATGAAATCCAAATCTCAGATCTCTTCTTTTCTTACTTCCTTTCCGTCTTCTCTTTAATCTCTAGTCTCTTTATTAAAGAATTCGTTAAGATTTTCTTGTCGCGACGAAAGTTGTGATGCCTAATGATGAATTTACGATCAAAATTCTCACGACGGTCGTCTGATCCCTCCTGATGTATACTGATCTATATTTTCTGATGGCGCCACAATAATTTGTTTTTATTTTCATTTTTTTCTTTAGTGTTTGATTCGTGTTTTATAAATAATTGCGATTAGGTTTTTTTCTTTCTTTCTTTGGTTTATTTCAGTGAAGGCTGGGGAGCACAATGAGGATTAATTTAAAATAGTCCGATATATTCACATGAAGGATTAACAACCTCCTACTCATTCTGAGTGCTCTATAATCCTTCGTTTTTTCAATGCTTTTTAATTTAGCAATTTTCTTGTTTTTGTAATTTGTATTTATTTTTTCTTTGTGAAGAAACATTTGATTTGTATCTCTAAAGAATTTTCGTTTTAAACTTTGATTCATTTTTGTGCTGTATCAAAATTCTGATGCGTTTCATACTTTCTTCTAGCTGATGAACTTCACTACTAATCTTCGATGTTTTACTTATTGCTTGGCATGGATAAACTAGATAATAGAACTTTTGTAATTGGATATTTTGTATCATTCACATACAGATTTTGGACATTTGGGATCTAAATCCATGTAAAAACATAAACCGTTTGTTTCCGGAGCTGAACATTTAAGTTTTTTTTGCTAAATGTCTCATTTGCGTTGTTCTTCTGTATTACTAATTATTTCTATTGGAATTATTTGAATATGATTAAATCAGAAATAGATTTAAATGTATTTACATTCAAATTAGATTAGATCAAATAATGATGTTGATGTGGGTTATTTCGTGCTTAGAGGGTAGGGAATCCTGTTTTTGAAGTGAGTATTTGGGCTCTTCTCTGCTTTGCTTGTTTGTCTCTATTTAGGAATGAGAATATTTGCATTCTCTACCACAACAACCTCCTTATGTAAAACTTGGTTGTTTTAAATGTTGTGAAGTCTATTGTAAATTTGTTCTTCTTCTAGAAGAATTCTTTGAACTTGGCATCTGTCTCTAACAGCTTGAAGAAGCATGCCTCATCCCACCACCCAAAATACAAAAAATTGGGGAAGAGAAGTTTTCCTTTCCTTGGTTTTAAGTATAGTCAGCATAAGGGATGATTCTGATTAGAGGCTCGTTAGTGTCACGGCAGCTTGGTCCGGCAATAAGCCTCTGTTGCAGCATATGCCAAAAAGCGTGGAGTCACGACCCCTCTTTGATCGCTTTGATCTTGCCTTTTATTCAGCTAGGATTTTCTAGTTTTTTTAGTTTAATTGTCTGCGTATGGAGGAGGAAGAGATCTGATCAGATGGCAAGTTAAGATTTAGTTCAGTGCTGTTACTGTTTTGTTGAGAGTCAATTGATTAATTGATGGCCTCCACTAAATAGTAGCAGTTCTGAATTTGATCTTAATTTGCCTCAACGAGAGTTTGATCGGGCTTCTTCTTCTTCAGGATGCAGAGGATCAGATTGGAAGGCGGGAGAAAATGTTGAAAGTGAAAGAAGGCGATGTCAGAGCGATAGTATTTTTAAACTTAATTTACATGATTAAATTAATTTGGATATGAATTATATCTAACAAAAACTCATATTTCAAATGAAAGTCTCACTCCTTGCAATTTGATATTTCTTGAAAAAATCAATTTCTTTTCTCTAGGAAAGTGAATATACTGTGTTTGTATAAAAAGCGTTGAATACGGTTCACCTTTTCATTACTAACAATATTTTTCTTCTCTTGTCAATAACATAATCCTTTCTTTACTAGTCGATAGGCAAATCGCTACTGTTATATTTACTACTCATACTAATTTACAATCTACAAATTATGTTTTAGAATATTTGTTTGGTTTTATATTGTGTCAACATAATAATTAATTAAGAAAATATTCGAATATCCCATATCTGTTTGAAAATTATTTTGTTAGATTTGTCTTGGAAACAAATATTATAAGTTTATTTCAATTTATATAGAGTATAATCATTTTTAATTGATTCCAAATTCCACACAAATTGGGTGGTTATTGAAAAGAGAGGGTATATTTTGTGATATGAACAATAATTCTTCAAAGAGCTCAAGGTGTTGATGATGGAGCATTATAATTTGTTTAATTTGACTTGAAAATATAATTTGGAACATAAGGAATACTCTTTAAGGTCTAAATTTGGACTCCTTTCGTCTCAAATTATTTGTCACATTTTTATTACTGAATCAAAATATTAAATTTTTTCAATTTATTTTATTTACATATTAGTAAAAAAAAATTAAAAAAATATATCAAAGATCTACATGAAAAGTTCTTCGAAATAAGAGGTTAGGAATATTTTATTTTATAAAATAACCGATGAAAGCGTAGAAATAAACAAAAATTTTTGCAATTGTTGAAAAAGCAAATGTGATAAATAATTTTGGACGAAGAGAATAATTATTAAAATTATAGGGGAATTTTTATACCGAGTATTCAATTTCCTATTACAAAATGTCATGTATATGGTTCTTTGTTTATGTTTATAGTTACCATCAATAGAAAATACTTTTTATATTCTACCATGTTTGTGTTAAATTAAAGGATAAACATGTAATTTCACATTGGCTCTTCATCTTTATTGCCATATTCTAATACGAAGTACATATTGGTTGCTATTGATGTGTCGTTTGTTCAATAGAGTCGATGTCCACTTCAATGATAATCCACATTCGTCGTTGATGATCAGACTTAGGATTATAGTGATAAAGTTATTCATAAAAGGTATTTCCTCCGTCCTAAAATGTTCTTTCTTCTTACTTTTTATTTGGTCAAATTTTAATTATTTTCTTTATCAATTTTTATTAGTTATTTGATAAAATAAAATAGTCTTTTCACCATTTGTTTTGTAGAATTTTTGATGTAGTTTTTAAATATATAAATTTTATTTTTTAATTTTATACCTGCAATCAAATAAATTAAATTGAAAATAAAATTGGTCAAATCTCATAAAATGAATCGAGAAGAACATTATAGGACGGAGGGAGTAACAAATAGGGAGTATTTGATTATAGTTAACTTCATATTAAATACGGAGGATGAATTTTTTTTTTTAATTTTTAAGAATCAAATTATGAAATTTATGATCAAAAGTAATCAAATGCAAGTTACAATTTCGTCAACTAAAAATGTTCAGGGCGGTAATCCACAATACATCTCCCACCCGCCGGCGGTATTGACTTCGCAATTGAGATTATAACTCGTCTTTCTGTTATGGGCTCCGCCGCGTTCCGCCTACATCTCTGACTAGACTTTTACTTCCATTTCTCCATTGCCCCAAATATCGCCCAGAAAGAAAACAAAAAACAAATTCAGTGAGATGGGGACAGATACGACAAGTAAGACAAATTCAATGCGGAATCGCAGTACAAAGTTATCGGTCAAGTGTTTTGTGCAGTTGAAGATTGAAGTTCATTCTTCCATCGCTTGACCCGGTATGAGCTTTTGAACTGTTCATTTTGCTGCTTCAATGTTTATTTGATTCGTCATATGCCCTGTTCCTTAGTCTTTGTCTGATCAGAATAATCCAATAAAACACGAACAAGATTTGATCTTTATAGGCAAACCATTTGAAATCGTTCTTGTTTACTTGATCTAGCTTGGTGCAAAGGTTGAAACTTGGTTGGGCAGAGAAATGGGGGGAATTTGCTCGGGAGGGACGACTAAGGATAAGGGCCGCCATGGGAGAGGCTCAAGTGTTTCGAAAAAGCTCGACCCCATAGCAGCATCTGGGCAGGATAAGAATGTAGGTTCATATGAATATCCCAGTCCTGGTGCTCCTAAGAAGATGCATGACCTATACTTTTCTGGCGAATTGCTCTCAATTTCAGGAGAGTTGAAGACTAACAAGGTAAATTTAAGCAGAATGGCATTTTTATGCCATTGGGTAAGTAGGAACAGAATTGATGACATTTTTTGTGACAGGCGGCGCCTCAAGCAAGTTCTTTTCTTGGGAAAGCCGGGACAGCAGGCCTTGAGAGGGCCGTGGAAGTTCTAGACAGCTTAGGAAGCAGTGTCACAAATTTAAACAACAGCGGGTTTATTTCTGGCACGGGGAGATCAAGAGGGAATAGAATATCCATACTTGCATTTGAGGTTGCTAATACCATCTCCAAAGGTGCTACCTTGTCTCAATCTCTATCCCAAGAAAGCATTCGCCGTTTGAAAGAAGAGATTCTACATTTAAAGGCGGTGCAAGAGTTGGTCTCTACTGATACACAAGAGTTGCTCACCATAGCCGCGGCTGACAAAAGGTTAGTTAGTGTCTTTCTTAAAAACCATGCACTTTCCCAGGTAAAAGTATGCATGTTGAAATCCATGGTTCCTTTTTAATAATTGTTGGACAAATGACAATTGTCACCTCTCAAAAGTTACAACAACCTTAGTGGCAATAAAGATGTTTCAAGATGTGCTGACCTTACTGTGTTTCAAACCTTTTAGAGTTTAGGGATTAGCATACCATCATCAAGTCATCACATGTATATTTTTGCATTTCTTGCAGGGAGGAATTTGATGTCTTTTCGCGGGAAGTAGTGAGATTCGGAAATATGTGCAAGGATCCACAATGGCACCACCTGGACCGCTATTTTTCAAAGTACGTCACATTTTTAGTGAAATTGAATGCTTTCCAGGGATTACACTTTGGTCCGTTAATGAGAATGTATGAAGCAATTTGTGTAACTATGTCAGGTTGGATTCTGACCCGGTAAACAATAAGAAACTCATGGAGGAGGATGAAATGACTTTGCAAGAGTTGGCCACACTCGCACAGTATACTTCAGTAAGATTCTTTTTCTTGTAAACTGTTTTGCACACTCTTAAAAAACGTTATCATTGTCAGTGATGAAGCACGAAATTAGGTTGTGGCCCAGGAAGAGTTATTTATATTCTAACACGCCCCCTCACGTGCAGGCATAGTCTTTTTTCGAGCCTTGCACGTGAAACTTCAATTTTTTTAAAACTGGGTGGCGCTGAGTTTCGAAACCTAGACCTATTAGTCAACAAGGCTCTGATACCATGTCAAGGAACCAATTCAACCAAAAGCTCAAGCTTGTGGTTGTGGCCCAGGAAGAGTGTTATTTATATTCTAACAAACTACTTCAACCTCTCATAATGTTTTCTGATACTATTGTGGATGTTGTTTGTGCAGGAACTGTATCATGAGTTACATGCTCTGGACAGATTCGAACAGGATTACAGGAGGCAAATCGATGAATTAGTGTCTTCAAACCTTCCTCGTAAAGGTATATCTTATACTCCATCGGTCCCATAAAAATTTGCCTTGTTCGACTTTCATTGAGTTTAAGAAAAGTGTTTAAAAGCGAAATGTGGTTGAAATTTGTTTAGATGATAGAAATTTTTTTTGTGCCACATGTTCACTTTTTGAAAAGGAAATAAGTAGGAAGTTTTTTTTTGCGGTGACTGAAAAAAGAAAGTAGTTTTTTATGGGACAGAGAGAGTATGTTCTAAGAATTACTCCGTATGTATTTATTGATGTTGTAGGAGACAGTCTTGAGATGTTGCACAGTGAGCTAAAAAAACAAAGGAAAACTGTGAGGAGCTTGAAAAAGAAATCCATCTGGTCCAAAGTTCTGGAAGAGGTAATCTTTAATCATTTATCTTCTCTAAATTTGTAACTATTGGTAATTTACAAATGTGATTGGCTAAGCATTCTGGCTCTCAAAATTATATTTCAAGTTTAACACTCCTGCACTAAGTGTTAGATGGACAAAATAATGGTAATCTTTTGTAAATTTTCAAAAGAATGTTCTATGGAGTAACATTTATCAAGTGGTCATCGAAAACACTCAATCCAACACTACTTTAAAACCACAACTTTCAATTAAAAATATACATCTTGAAACACACAATATTCAAGCTACATTGCACGCTTTCAAACTGCTTATCCAAACACTCCAACAATCTCTGCATTGCGTTCAGATAATCTTTCATATTTTCTTTAGAGCCTCGTGATAAAAGCACACATTTTTTTAAGGTTGTGGAGAAGCTTGTTGATATCGTTGCCTCTCTTCATCACAAATTTATAAATGCATTTGGAGATAGTGGTATGATTCCTCTATTGAGCTTTTATGATCTATGCACTTACAAATTATACTCCGTAATGTGTTAGAAGTTTCTATAATATATACATACTTGCAATTCAATTTCTTTTCTTTAATTGGACCAGGATTAACCTATGTGTGCAACAAGAATTCAAATGGAGTAGAAAGATTAGGACCAACTGGTCTTTCCTTACACTATGCTAACCTCATCACTAAAATCGATAACCTTGTAAGCTAGTGTTGAAGTTTGCAAACATTATTCTTGTTATTGACTTATTGTTACTTGGTATGCACATGAACTATAATTGTAATGGGTATTCATTATAATGGCAGGCTGCATGCCCCACTTCCCTCCCCCCAAACACAAGGGATGCATTGTACAAAGGGTTGCCTTCAACCGTGAAGGCATCACTTCGATCTCAACTACAGTCACAAGCTGATACCAAGGAAGAGGTTTGTGCTCTTTCACTCATTTCGTCTTGAAAAACGAGTTCATACCAAATCTAACATTTTTGTGTGCTTATTACAATGTGCATCCTACCAGCTAACAGTCCCTCAGATCAGGTCTGAAATGGAGAAAATTCTTATTTGGCTTCTTCCAGCAGCTATTGATACTACAAAGTATGTAAGATCAACATGATTTGTTTTACTTGAACAAACAAACTCTGCATTGTTCCTACTTATATGCCAATGCGCTGCCATTGATTGTTTCATTCTTGTGATGTGGAAGCAGATCACATCAAGGTTTTGGATGGGTTGGAGAGTGGGCCAACACCGGGTTAGTTAAAGGACTTCCTTTTTCTTCATTATCAATTGATCGGTTTATGAGGTTGGGTCATGCTAGGGGCACCCCAAGTGTGATCCCAATTCTCACCCACTTTCTCACAGACATTGTTCTTCAAAGTAGGTAACTTGACAAGTGTTAGGTTTTCTTAAATGCAGAAACGAATGCGGGAGAAAAGAGGATATGCAGAGAACCAACCTCACCAGGCTGCAGACACTTTATCATGCAGAGAAACACAAAATGGACTCATACATCCTTGAGCTGGTGATGTGGCTTCACCGGCTCATCTGCCTCATGAGATTTAACGGGCCCACCAGGGGTTTGGCGACAGGGAGATCATCAACTGATAAAAGACATGTTCCGGGTACTGAAACACACCATGACAGTAAGCCAAAGGTACAAGTTCGCGACGAAGAAGACAAGACATTGTTGAAAGGAGTGATGGAAAACAGAAAGCTTGTCGTTCCCGCCGGGTTGAGCAAAAGCCAAGAGCTAGTCAAAGCATCATCCAACAATGGGGGAAATGATGAGAAGGTTAGGGGGCATAGTAGGAGCACTGGAAGCTCACCTTGTAAGTTAGAAACTCCAAAGGATAATGCCTTGGATATTTTAGTCTTTTAGATGGTTTAGGATAGGTAATTGTGTTTTATTTTTCTGTTTTTTAACAGACAAGTATATATAAACAAGTATGTGTAAAGAGTTCATTCTATTTTTTTATGTGTATAGATTTAATTCCATTTCTCTATCCATTTCATCCTAAAACTTGTAAAGGGGGCAAGAGAACAATCAATTAATTAGTCCATCCATTTTTAATAAACAAAAAAATAATATTTGTGTGAATATTTATTGTCTGGAATTTCGTTTTTTAGTGCCCAAAATCAGTTCTTAAATATACAAAATATGTTAAATTTATGTAAGGACCGAGAAGTGAAGCATTTGGGTGGTGATAGTTACACCCCACTAAAAAACTAGATTCATCACACATACTAATTTCACTCACTACTTTCTAAACTTTTTTTAATCTTGTGCTTTACACGGATTGTTATACATTTCAAATTTTTTACTCTGTAACATATTGGTAAAATTATATTTTGAATTAAATTAGTTTGTTTTTTCTTTAATTTTCTAATAAATATTAGTATGCATTATCTAAATCTTTTTTATAATTAGATATGATATTTTTAAAATAAAAGTTGTAGTGTTAATGATTTTCATTTATTAAATTTTAAATAAAACTTGTTTTCTAAAAGCAATAAAAAAGGGAAATGGCGCGTAGCTTTAAATTTTATATAAAGCTTTATATATTTTTAAAAATATAATAAATTAATTCACCAAAATAGAAAAAAAAATATTTTATCAAACGAAATTATTGGTCATCAAATTTAAGAATAATGAAAGTTATTTTATTTTTAATCAATTAATAATTAAAATAACAGCTTCAAATTATTTTAAAGTTAATTTTAGAACTCATATAATTTTTTCGAAAAGTAACAAAATAAAATAAATGGTTGATTTTTAAAAATATATTTGTAATGTTTGTTTTAATTTAAAAAAGTCTTTATAATTTCTTTAAATAATTACATAACTATACATCATGAGCTGTATTCATTTGACATGATGTATTTTATGTTTTAGCGGGTATGACTATCACTATCCGAAACATTTTTGGTTCCCCAAACAAAAATGTCACGTTCACACCAAGTTGTCTCTTCAAAGGGTTGTGTCCATTTATTTTAAATTCAATTTTAAACTCATTCCCACTAAAAACAAGCTGCACAAGTATCCTCTTTTAAGTTATGTTTATCTTGTGCACGACCCACTAAACTCTATTAGGAAATTTCATATTTTCTCGAAATAGGTAACCAAATGTATTAATTATCGAAAGCAAATTAGATAAACACATATTGATTTTCTAAGTAACCTTCTCGTGTTTAGCTACTTTGCTTGTTTGATTATGCCGTCAAAATTAGACCAACAACAAACCCAATATCTCTTAGGCCAACCAAAGGGAACACATCTGTAAGGTCCACACAAACATGTTTCTCCCCCCAGCCCTTCCAAACACAAGAATATCGGTTGGACGTTGAGTAGATTTCCTTTCAAGCGAATTCGTCTGAAAGTTCAGCTGAGCGTTATTCTTAACCAAGATCTCTGTCCACTTTAGAATATTACATAAAACATCACTCACAAAAGTGTCTGTTTGTATTTAAACCACAATCTTCTTTTAATTGAATAACTTAAAATTGATTTTTAAATAAATGAACACAACTCTTTGAAAATACATGTTCAATCTTAAATGACAACTCTTGAATATTTATTTTAAATTTAAATTGATTTTTTTAAAATGAATTGGTGTATCTCTTACTAAAGAGACATGAATATTCATAAATGAGCATATCTTTTTCTATAATTAGAACCCTTCTCACAATATGATGCAAAAAAAAATGTTAGAAAATAATTTAGAATATGTACACAAATAATTTATTACGGAGTATTATCAATTATTATTATTATTTCATTGAGATATCATTTCTCATATTTCTTTAAGTGTGTTTGTTTGGTGTATAAACAAAATACTCTCTCCGTCTCAGTATATTTGTCCAGTTTGACTTTTGTGAGACAAACTAGATAAATTTTGAGTTTCAATTAAATAAAAACCGTAATGTATTTTAACATAAAAATGACTTTATTGAATTTATCATATTGAGAACTTTCAAAATTGTATTTCATTATGCTAATATGCAATATAAATTAAGAGTAATTAGAGTTCAAAATTTATCCAATTTGACTCGAAAAAGTCAAACTAGAGAAATAGACTGGGACGGAGGTAGTATGTGTTTCGAATTTTTTTTGAATGTTTGGTGACGCAAAAAAATATTGAATTTGATATTTTCAGATATTATAAATCTTTAAAATGATAAGTTTTGATATTTAGCAAGTTTGGGAGATATTAAAATAAGGATTTCATATCTCTCTCTCAATCATTAATCAATTTCCATCTCCAGCTTCTATTGTCATCGTCACCGTCAAGCACCCCCTTTTTGGTTACCGCCGCTTATCTATATACGGAGTAAATAATAATTTGAAATCTCTCCAATTATATTTGTCTCAAATTTCAAAACTCATATTATTTATTCTAAATTTTAAGTCATATCTTATTATATCTTCAAAACTTCATAACTCATATCTTAATATATCTCTAAAATTCACGGAAGGGCCTTTAGATGTAACTTGGTTGCACTATACTTAAATTGAGATTTGCTTCGAAAATTATTATATTACGATACACAGTTTTTAAACCTAACTACGAACTTCTATAAAAAAAAAGTAGGAAAATCAGATTATCACAATTCTTAGGCAAATCACTCTGGTTTTATACACTCGTTTTAAAAAATAGTACTCATTTTTTCAAAAAAATAAAACAAAACTTTCAACGAAAAAGATAAATAAAGAGTAATAAACTTAGACGTCAGAAAAGTAATAAAACATAAAAAGAGTTTCTACAATATGAGTAGAAGGGATCAGATGGCAAAAGATGAGAGTGCCCATATTGTCGTGCTGGCGGAGCGGACACCCATCTCACATATCAAATGTGAGTATTGACCACTCATCACATCCCCTAAAAACTTGCCAGAAGGATCATACCTAAACCTGCATCTAATCCTTTGTTTTATGCACCACAACAATTGAACCCATCGCTCCCACTTCCGGTGTGGGTTTAGTTGAGAGCTCGCTTGATTGAAACAATGAAACCCATCTCTTTCTCACCACAAAGCTTAGAGGCAAAAATGATGATGGCTCAAGCAATGATGAAGGTTTGAGAATTTTTTTTTCATACATGCATTCAAATAATTTTTTATAGATTAAATAATTATCTATTAATTTCGCTTTCAACCAATTACAAAAAAATGATTGACAAACGGACAAAAAGTTGCGCAACAATCCTCTTTTAAGTAGCAAACTCAATCCCGCTAAAAATAAAGTTATGAGTCTTAGGAGATCAAGACATTCTTGTGCACGACCCGCTGCACTCTATTCGGAAATTCCATAGTTTCTCGGGATAGGTTACCAAATGTATCAAACGCAAATTAGATAAAGACATGTTGATTTTCTAAGTAACATTCTCGTGTTTAGCTCCTTTACTTGCTTGATTCCGCCATCAAAATTATCTGACTGTAAACAAACTCATTATCCCTGAGCCCAACCAGAAGAGGCACATCTGTAAGGTCCACACAAACATGTTTCTCCCCCCTACCCTTTCAAGCACAAGAATATCGGCTTGTTGTAGAGTAGATCACCCTTCAAGCGGATCTGTGCAAAAGTTCGGTGGAGCGTTATTCTTAACCAAAATCTCAGCCCACTATAAAACATTGCATAAAGCATCTTTGACAAAAGTAAGTTTGTATTTAAACTAATATAACTCTTTGCAATGGACCCTATGCTCACCAAAAATGTCTAAGAACACTGGGCTATGTTGACCCTAAGCTTAGTTCAATTGTTTGATGCAAAGATTAGGTCCCGATGTTTGAGAAGGAAGTGATATGAGCACTCCAAATATTACCTCCTTCGTCCCATATTGGATATCACATGATATACGCTACTTTTCACGAATACCTTGGTCGAGCAGCCTTGCGGCGAGGGAAGGGAGAAACGCGCCGTAGCGCAGGGGGAGAGAAGAAGAGAAGTAAGGGGAAGTTGTAATTCTTGTATTATGATGATTAAGGAGAGTTAAACACCTCCTTAAATAGATAAGTTCCCCAATCCTAGTTAAACTAATTATCTATCCTGTCGGTTCAAGAAAAAGCATCGAGATAAAGAACCGAAAAGAAACTCTCGAATGGACTTATAATTCGTCCACCTAAAGAAAATCTAAGTACATAATGAATAATTAAAAATACTTAAACATAATCTCGATATCTACGTGGCGGTCCCACGTGCCTCTTTGAACGACTTGTCGCGATTATGTCCTCGTCGTTCACCCTAGGGTCCGTGTCCGTATCATCACATCTCAAACAAAATACAAAATTCTATTATTTTTAAACTTATTTTATTTACAAATTAGTTTAGAAATAAAAAATATAAATTACATCATTTAAAATTATATTAAAAAAACTCTATAAAATAAAAGGTGACAAAAATATTTTATTTTATCAAAATACCAATGAAAATATACAAAAAAATTATCGAGAAGCCGTACGTAATAGTGACAGTGACATTCAAATCAGGACGGAGGGAGTGTTATTTACACTTAAACCATCATTTTCGTTAATTTCCTCACTAAAATGCAATGGTGTACAATTAACTATTGTTCATTAAAATGTTACTCCGCAGGTTATTTCATTCAATAATTATCTGACTTTTGCTGATTTTATGCGTTAAAAAAATCAACTCCTATCATAAAAATATTTTCTATTTCAATTTCATTCGTCTTAAATAGATTTTTTTTCATTTTTAAATCTCTTTATGACAAAATATCATCGGCATTCTATATTAATTTAGTCAATTTAACTTTACAGATAATAAGAAATGTTGAAAAGATATTGAGATAATGTTGAACGCATAAAAATTTCAAAAACCGTTTGAAAGAAAATGATTTTTTTAAACCACATATTCTCTCCTAAAAATTAAAAAAATAAAAAAAATTATTTTGGGATGAAAAAGAAAAAAGCGAGGAAACAAATGCGTTCTGAAAGAGTCTATAAAAAAGTTCACTAAATTTACTAGGATTTGTCCTTATTGTTTTTTTGGTAGTCAAGAATTGCGAATTGTATTAGATTTTCTACTTTGCTTATGACATAATTACATCATGTTTGCAATAGAGGAAATTAAAATTTAATAATTCAACTCTCTTGTAGTCTTGATATCTTTCATGTTGTAGAATTTCTGAATGGTTTAATTAATCAAATCATGGTGGTAATTGTTTTGCGGTAATTCTCTTTTAGTAATAATAAGTGTCTTGTGAGCAATTACATGTATTTAGATTAGTTTTAGATTCATATTAATTTTCTCATTTCACATTTGCTAATATGATCTTCAAATAAATTTGATTTGTGTTTTATGTTTAATTAGGAATGGTCCAATTTTACGTACATTCTTTGCTGGTTGTATTGCATATACCACCACACACTCTGCAGTTAATTCTGCATATTCATTCTCTAGACCTTTTGGAAATTTTGTACTACACATTGTTAAGATCCCGTCCTTAACGAAGGGCATTGGCATCATCTTTGTCACCTAATTAGAGTTGGGGGCATATTCCCCCTACTAATTTTTGTTACTCCTTCCGTTCTAAAACTTTCTTTCCAGAACACTATTCCAACTTCACAGAAATTTATATTTATTTGTGTTTTTTCATAGACTATATGATAAAATAAAATATTCTTGTCACCACTTGTTTTATTGAATTTTTGATATAATTTTTAAATAAGTATGTTTTATTTTTTATTTCTATACCAATAAATAATTTTTATTGAAAAAATTTGAGATTCTTTTTTATTTTGCACAACAGAAAGAAAGATATAGAAAGGAGAGTACAAGGTAAAAGTTTTTTCAATTTTTTTTATGTACATATACCCCCAACAAAAAATAACGTGATCTCATTTAATCAAGCTAAATTAAATTTTTTTTTGGTTTTTTAGTAAAGTGTATTTTATTATACATAATTAACTGTTAATGAAATAAAATTTTACATTCTCTATCAGTAAATATTTTACATTCAATAAATGGTTGAAATAAAATCTAATATTTTTTTGTCATCTCATATATTTCAGGGGCAATGCCCCTGAACCCTCGACCAACTGTCCCCATCTACCTGGATTCCTGGATCCACCAAAGACTTTGTGAAGCTTGTTATTCAAAATTCACCAAAATTTTTTTGAACATTGTATCTCTCAAAAAGTCTTTTAATGATAGGTTGAGTTGAATTTATTCTGTTAGCTTTCTTTTCTTTTCTCATGCAGTGAACTCAAAATATTTGTCTAATTTTGACTTAATCAAAATTAGTTCTCTAATCTAAAATTAAACAAAAATAATATTAGAAATTACTAAAAAATAATTTTATTAAATTTATCATATAAAATATTTTCCAAAACTTATTACATAAATAAAGTAACATAGTTTTAATTATTTGATAAAATAATATTCTTTTTTAATTTCTTATTTTATAAATCTTTAATATAATTTTGAAAAGAAAATAATTTCAAAGTATTATTTCATTAACAATTTTTAAATATATAGATTTTAAAATTTGGTTTAAAAATTAATTAAAAAAGTAATTCAATTTTATTAAAATAAACAAAAGCTAAGGAAAAGAAATACAAAATACAAAAATAGATTATAACAAAAAGCTAAAATCAAAAACAAAATCGCATGTAGAGAACAAATATAAATAGAAATTGAAAGCAAGGGATCAGATGGCAAAAGATGAGAGTGCCCATATTGTCGTGCTGGCGGAGCGGACACCCATCTCACATATCAAATGTGAGTATTGACCACTCATCACATCCCCTAAAAACTTGCCAGAAGGATCATACCTACCCAACCGATCCCGTCCTTATTTTTATACACTAAAACAACTGAACCCATCGCTCCCGTTTCCGGTGTGGGATGAATTGAGCGCCCATTGAGGGAAACCCCTTTCTTCCTTTTACCCGAAGAAGCTTGGAGGCAAAAAAAAATGATGAAGGCTCAAGCGATGATGAGGGTTTGGTTGAAGGGGCCGCCCGGATGGCGGCGCCGCCATATTTGCTCCCCGCGCGCTGTGATGACGGTACGGTTTCTTCTCCATTCACCTCTACAATCTTATCCTCCCGCTTTCTGCCTCCCTCCGCCTCCTTTTTCTTCGATCCATTCGACCTCCCCCCGCCACCTCAGCTTCCGCTCAGGCGCCGTCAAACAGCCGGCCGATTCTATACCGCGCGAATCTTCCGAGAGCGACGGAAAAGGTGGTTCGGATAAGGGCAATAGGGGCCGAAATGCGAAGAAACGCGAAGCTCGGCGCGCCGTTAGCTGGGGAATTGAACTCGCCAAGTGTTCTCCCCCTCAAATTAAACGTATTCTCAGGTAATGCAAGTGTTTTATTCTTCTTCTAAAACGATTCTGTAATTGCCTTAGTTACTCGAACTAACACTGGATGCAATGTGTTTGAGGCTCTGCTCATGTTTTTCTTTTTATCAGAGTGGCTTCACTGCAGGAGGATGTTTACGATGCACTCATGCTTGTCAAGGTGATTGTCTTATTTAGTGCACTTAGGCCAGAATAGCGTTTCTGTTGTCATGCAGATAACCTGTTCTATTGTTTGATGCAGAGATTAGGTCCCGATGTTCGAGAAGGAAAACGAAGACAATTCAGCTATATAGGTTTGCCTCCTACAATTACTTAGAAAAAACTAAATTGCTGCATTTGTTTTTACAATACTTGTACTTTGTATCAATGCAAGCACAAAAGTACATTGCAATGAAGTGATTCCTACTGTAATGGTCTAAATAGAATCCCTTTTGCAGCTTAGATTAACAATTTGATATATACTTTCCTACAAACTATACACTTATTGTGTATTTTTAAGTTAATGCTAGGTAGACTGCTTCGGGATGTTGAGCCGGAATTGATGGATGAATTAATTAAGGCAACATACAATGGAGACCATGATCAGGTTCGTGCTTTATCTAGGTCACGAACACAGAGCATTGAAGATTTTGATGAAAGTGACTATGAGGATGAGGAGGAAGACGACGATGATGCTAAAGATGAGGTTCTCTCATTACTTATCTCTCTCTACCACTTGTTTTAACATGGGAACCGACAGGACTTGCACATAATGTACCTGTTTTTTGATTCCATGATTTTTTAGAGCAACATAGTTCAATAACCAGAAGTAAATCATCAGTGATAATTTTCACTTTGGAAAAAAATATGAACTAACACATTGTGTTGTCACTTTTCACTTGTTGCAGAATATTGAATTGGCTGACAGATGGTTTGATGGCTTGATCAATAAGAACATTGAGGTTAGCAATGAAATATATTCTCTTCGTGAAGTTGAGTTCGACCGTCAGGTTAGTTCTGCTCCAGTCTTAACTTATCCCGTAGGTCATTGCTTTGTTATCCAAATGAAGATTTCTCATATGACTCCATCACTATGCCAGAACATTCTGCTTATGAGTTCTCTATCCCCTAGTCAATCTATATGTTCTTCAAAACACTTAAAATAACATTATTAAATCTCATCAAAATGAATACTTATATACATAAGCATTCATTTGGTGTAATCTTAAACTTTATGATTGGAGCACCATAGGTGCCCCAATTGAATTGGTGTCACATTCTTACACCATTTTTTTGGGTGCAAAATTACTCTTCCTCTATTGAAATATTATAATACCATCACATATACTCTGTAGTACTATATGTGAACCATTTTCACTAGATTAAGTGTTTTGAATCTTTAATTTTTAAAAATATCCTTGCATTCTTACGGAAAGGTGGTTGATTGATCTGATGCAAGGAATGAGAAAGTTTTGACCACTATGTGTTTGCCCTAATGTATGTATGAACACTTGAATGGCACATGCCCCTGCCAATGAGACTTTGTAGGCCGAAGGTCTTTTCTAGCCAAGACGAGCCGGCTTGTTATGCAAATCGAGTACAATATTGAACTTGAGCTCGATTTAATTTCTACTCCACATGAGTTGGACTCGATGGTTTGATTGTTTAGTTGCTAATAAGTTAGTGATTTAGGCTTTGTTCTTTTGGGTTGGAATTTCAGAGTTGGATGCTGGAAGAAACTGAAAGGAGTTAGAAAAACCTGGAAGGAGTTAGAAAAACCTGGAAGGAGTTGTAAAATGTTGGAAGAAATAAAGTGTTAAAAAGTCACTCAAATAAATAATCACCTATATAAATACGTAAGAAAATTCTAATTTTGGATATAAAAGAATTCATTGTGTTTGAGGTAGTATGTTATAAACTTTGATATATAATGTTATTGTATATTCATCATATATAAATACCTTTTTAAGTCATTAGAAAAAACTAGAAAATGTTAAAAAGAACTAGAAAAAGTTGAAAAAAGTTGAAGTTAATTATTCGAACCCAAAAAAACAGGGCCTAAGTGGGAATAGTAGTAGTCATAGTAGGAGTAGTGGCATTGGAAGATGAGGATGAATTCCATAATTATATGGGCCTTACTACTTTTTCTAGCAATAAAAAAAGGTGGTAAAAAGATTCATAATGCACCTCAAAGCCTACACATTTTTGCTTGGGTCATAAACCTCCTATTATGCGAACAAGGTTTAAACCTCAGTACCCAATTTTAGTGCTTCAATGTGAGGCGTTCCTAAGTGTTCTTCAAACCATAACAGTTCAAAAAATCTAAACCTGCCTTATAACGTTCCTTGAAGCCTACACTTTTTTACTTGGGGCGTAAGCCTCAAATTCTGCAAACAAGGCTTAAGCCTAAACACCAAATTTCATTGTGTCAATGTGAGGCAAACCTCACAACGCGCCTCATAAGCATTTTTAAAACATAGCAGTCTAACAAAATAATCACAAAAGGCCTCAAAGCCTTCGCTTTTTTTCTTAGGACGTGAGCCTCATATCTGTAAACAAGGCTTAAGCCTCAGTACCCAATGCCAGCGCCTCAATATGAGGCGAGCCTCATAAGTACAGAGTACGTTTTAAAACCATAACAGTCCAAAAAACAAAACCTGCCTCTAAAGCAACACGAATCGTACACTTTTTTTTGCCTTGTGAGTAAGCCTCATTGCCCTCTGTTATGCAAACAACGCTTAAACCTCAAGACCCATTTTCAGCGCCTCAAAGTGAGGCCAGCCTCACAACACGCCTCATAAGAACTCCTTTAAACCATTTTGATGGAAAGAGTACTTGTTTTGTGTAATACTAATTTCTCATCACAGACATCACTCGTCCTTTGAACAAAACTAATTTTTTAGCTCATCTGTTTTTCTCCCCTCTTTCGAACCATACGAGGGCTTTGTTAACATGATGCTATGAAGTTTTTTTCAAGTTCCCACATCATTTTTAATTATTACCAATCCTTTTGGTTCATAATAAGCTGCATAAATTGCTTCATGAGCAGTTATTATTTCTATGGGGTCTAAATGTTCAATATCATTATCACAGGAATTGCGGAATCTAGTTCGCAATGTACAATCAATTGAACTGCCCTTAATCACAGAGGAGGGAAAGGAAGGCGAAGTGGACATGGCTTTTCTCAAAGCCAAGAAGTCCCTCACTCGTTTCCTTCGACGCATTGCTAAGCAGGTTCTCCGGGCTGAGTAGGCAATCACTTTATATGATGCAGGTGCGCACGGGGTATTACTTTTTGGACGGTTTGGATATCTCTCCGAATCAGTGTATGTCCGATATCAGGTCAGGTTTTCTTCCTAACATACCTGCTCTTATTGGAAAGAGTTTTGCATCCTATACTGTAAATTTGTATTACTAATATGGATTGATTAAATGTAATTTTAACCACACTTTTCATTGTTCAACTCTTCTCTTAAATTTTGCAAACTTTGAGACAATAATTATGGGATGGAGGGTGTATATGATCTCCCTATTACTATAAGGATTATATTCTAGCTAGTATAGTCCCTGATATTTAACTTCCCACTTTCTGTTCATTAACATCTCAAAATAAAATTTTCATTTCTTTTAAGAAAAAGAACTGTGAGATTCATATTGGTTCACAATGAATCTCAATTAGTTGATGGTGTCATTTAGGCCAGTGAAATTGCCAAAACAACAAAACGGGTAGAGAACAGTACTTATATTAAACAGCATAACAATCATCATTTATAAGAGCCAACCAGCCTGATCCTGTCCCAAAATAGAAAAAAATATATGGTGCAGTGGCATGGTACGTACAAACACATACAAGAATTTTCAACCCCAAAGGAAAAAAAAAACAATATGAAAACATTTTACAGAATACTGATATCCATACTTATTGAAAGTTTGAAACCCTGGAACCAGCGACACCCCCCCCCCCTCTCACATGTGCATGAGGCCCTCCTGGTGGTGGCGCTCTAGCTGAGCGAGCTTTCATGAATTAACTAATCTCGCCGGAGAGGGGGCCCTCAAGGAAAAAGTGGGCAGAGGCAAACAGCTTGGATGAGGTGAAACAACCACATCACTGCCGTCCGCCGGAAGATGCTGGCGTTTTGGAGGCAGCCCGGCGTCTGGCGGCGGAGGAACCTTATTAACAGCATGCCGTGGGGTTTTCTTGGATTTTTTCTTAGCCTTATTCGACTTGGTTTTATAATTACTATTAGTGGTGGTGGTGGTGGTGGTAGGTGGCGGGCACGAAAGAGTCCGAGTTTGGGGGTTGAGAGTAGGCAGAGGAAGAAGCGGCGGCTGCCGATTATGATGGAATGAGAAATTGTGACCGGGGTGAGGTGGAAGAGAGCGGTGGTTTATAAGAGGTGCCGACGGCGGAGACTGAAATATGGGCGGCGGTGGCGGCGTCATATCTTTGGAGGAGCTGCTCCTAGTTAAATACTGATCGGTGGAAGTGGAAGAAGAAGAAAGTATTGGAACATAATATAAGCGGATCCCGCAGAGTCTAATTAGGCTAGTTAGGATATTGCCGACCTCCCTCCACTAATGGAAGCTTTAAATATAAGGAACGTGCCCAAAGTCATGTCTTTTTACCAAGCAAATGTTAGCTCCTTTCTCTTAAAAAACGAGTAATAAAGAAACTACTCGGTATTTGCTCGTTCTTTTTAGTTGCTAAAAATAGCTTAGATATGTTCTAGGGAGTACTCCCTTCCCTATAGTGTTTTTGTGGTTATCATTTACACGGTTAAATTATTTTCATTTTTATTTACGTATTTTCATTATCATTCGAAAAAATGATTATGGTTGCATTTCGTTCGCCTGATTTAATCTAATATTTTGAAGATTTGATATGGTCTGATCTGATCTGATTGCAATTATAATTAAAGCTATTTTTGATCTGATCTAATTATAATAAGAATAGGTAATAAGTAAAAAAATAGGTCGAACGTGCCTACAGAGTATATTCATGTTGCCAAGTGTTTTAAAAATCTTTTTATATATGGAGTAGTTAGCATGCAAATTTTATTTTTTTTAATTTACACCACTCAGTAATATTTAAATAATATAATTTGAGAATAGCATCAGTCAAACATTGTAAATAAGTAACATTGTAAGTTATACATTCGAGAAATCAATGAGACATGAGGGGGTACTTGAGCATTTCCTTTACTGTAGATTATTCTTAGAGTCTCATGCTGATATCTGAAGTCTGGAAATTAGAGTCGAAAGATTGATGTTTGGAATCAGAATAAGAATATACTCGGTATAATTGAAAAGAACATACCCTTTATATTTTCTCAAATACTCTCTTTGTTCCAAATTTCTTTATATATTTGATTTTTTACGTTCAACGATACAATATTTTCACCGTTACTAACTATAATTGTATATAAAAATTTGATAGGTCAAAGCTGCAACTTAAAATAATTCCTTTTATATTAAACTTAAATTATATTACGGAGAATAATTAAATACTCCGTAAAATATTCTTTACAATTTGTGATCAAAATTTGTAAAATTTGATCAAGAAAATTTAAATATAAAGACCTTTGCTCGTATCATCTACTATGTGAAAATAAATTTGGTAAGAATTTTAAAGTTTTCTTTTCTTACGAGTACATTGAAATTGCACCGACCACGCCCATGCATGGATAGATGTGCATACCATTAGGCACCGGCCTAATCAGTTAGTCCATTCCCCTATCGCTGTACTCCATTTCTTTTATCTCTTCCACTTTATTGCTTTGACGCTTTCTTTAACACGGAGTCATTCTTATTCTTATTCATATTTTAACAGCACTTTCATTGCACCAGTGTCATAATATGACACTCAAAACTGGTGTCATTTTAATCTAGCAACTAAAAATCATTCTACACTCTAAAAATCAGAATCAATTCACTAACACACTTGATATTTATAGCCCATTTTTCATGAATTCAAAATTCTAATTTTTAGATTATAGAATGAGATTAGTTATTAATGGATGAGGATTTCGTCCAGCCCAATAATATTTGAAGAATACATGTACATCCAATTATTTACAAAGTATACTATATTTTCTTCTATGCATTAACACGGAGTCATTACGTTGTTTTGTTTATGAATATGTTACTATTTCCTCCGTCCTAAAATGTTCTTCCCAGTTACTTTTCACACGGTCAAATTTTAATCACTTTCTTTATCTATTTTCATTAGGTATTTGATATAATAATATAGTCTTGTCACCACTTATTTTGTAGAACTTTTGATGTGGTTTTTAAATATATAAATTTTATTTTTTAATTTTACACCTACAATCAAATAAATTGAATTGAAAATAAAGTAGGTCAAACTTCGTAAACAGAAACGAGAAGAACACTTTAGGACGGAGGGAGTAATATTTTTGGTGGGAAGTCTTGAACAATATCGCTCAACATCAATCCAAATGTCTAACACGGCAGAATTGTGTCATCTCGAGTTTTGTCTGTCCAGACATTCTAAAAATTAATATTGTGTTTCTTTAAATTCGTACCATCAAACACTATTTCTTCTTAAAAAAACTTTCTTTTCCCAAATTTCAGACCTAATCTTTATCTAATTCCCTTTTACGAGTAGTTAAGTTTATGTACTAGTGTTTTGGGTACCTTTCAATCTCGACAAAATAATGAAGGATGTTTGGTAAAAGACAATTTTTAATGTATGGGCCACATACAATATGGGTCACATACATTGCGAATCGGTTCGGCCGAATTGTTGGGCACCTTTATATTGGGTATTTGGCATCTGGGCCGATTTCCGATTTCAGCAAAGACTACAGCAGGCCTTAAAGTTTATACAATCGAAAAAAGATGTATCTCATCATAAAGTCCTTTCAGACTCGACCTGAATAGTTTAATATGGATGAGGTAAGGCCCGTTCCAAACAAATTCTAATCTCCATTTTCTAGCATTTGACAAGATAAGAAAATAGAGTCAAAGGAAAATGAACTCCTGATCAAATGGACAATTAACCCTTCTTTTCAGAGTTTGACTTTCGGATTAATTTTCCGAAAGTCGTTTTCAGCTTCTTTTCTCGCTCTCGGCTCCTTGATGCTCATTCAATACTCATCTTCATCGTTGTCAACCCTATCATTGTTATCCCACATCTTCATTGTGCAATCCCTATTTTCGAGGGCTAGAGCTTAATCGGTTTCATCTGATTCCCTGTCATTTTTGCAACTTTCGTCTCTCACGTGAGGCTTTACCCTAATGCTCACCTCTGCTCATTTGCAGATTTCAGCCATTGATGGCCGGTTCTTGAAGGCATTTTCCTAGTTTCCAAGCGGACACTAAACGAAAGTTTCAATCTTTTCTATTCAAACTTATAACACCCCTTACGTCAATTTATCAAATTTGTAATAGGAATATTCCTCTATAATATGTGCATTATTGCATATACCGAGTGCGTATGACATATATTTGGATGTATGGCACTTCCCTTATATCCGGCGAATACTTGTTTAGTAGTAACAAAGTGTTCATTTCACATATTCTTTATTTTAGTTATAACACTACTAGAATATGTCGATTTAGTGTGGGGCAAAAACCCTCACAAAAAGGTAAAAGCCGCCACAAAAGAAAGCTTTGCGTCGAACTTGCGTCGGAATCGAGGCCGTCACTAAGCTGCTTGATGCTAATTCTTAGCGTCGGTCAAACCCTTCCTAGTTTGCGTTGGCCTGCTCCTCACAATTTTGCATCGGTTTAACCCTCAATAATTAGTGTCGGTCAAGCCCACGCTAGTTAGTGTCGGTCGAGCAACACATAACTCATTTTGCACATTTAATTTATTCAAAACATTCCCATTATAAAAATGTGTATACATATTTGAAGACTATATAATGTTCATTACAATTTTACAAAATGTACATTTACAAATAACATACGAAGTAATAATCATTTAAATTCATACATGGGTACAAAACACTCGCGATCCAAATTGATCATCTTTTAAGCCGACCACCATTGTGCTGCCATAGGTCTTAGCTAGGGTTTCGAAGGGGATGGCCGATCATCGAAGCATCTTGTTCATTGTCTTCTTCTTATTCACAACTTCAAATGTTCTTCATCACAACTCCACCAATTCTTCAACGCCTCTAGGGATTATAGGGTATCGAAGGGGATGGTGATTGTGATCATCAATGGTATTGTTAGAGTGTCGTCCCACATCGGAAGTCCAAAGGTAAAAATAATCTGTATATAAGCTCTTGAGTTGAACTAACTAATCGATTGGATTCAATCTTTTAATGCGGTTCATCCCAAGTGTCTTAGCCCAATCAAGCTATCTCTACCTAATCCTAAATTCTATCATGGTATCGGAGCAGGTTTTGGCCCACCTCGTTTGTTAAGGTGTCCGTCTAGACATTCATTCCTAGCGGCCCGTTAGTCTTTACCCCAGTTGTCCGTATGGAGCATGTACCCTATGACCTGTGGCCCGTTTAACACGATTGCTTGTCTAGAAGTCCATACCCAGCAGCTCGTAGTCCTTTAGGTGTTGGCGCTAAAAAAATTAAGGGGATGAGAGTCCATTTGTTTGTGGTCAACCGGTTAGATTCAAAATGGACAGGTTGTTCACTTGATGGGGAGTGTTAGAGTGTCGTCCCACATTGGAAGCCCAAGAGTAAAAATAATCGATATATAAGATCTTGAGTTGAACTAACTAATCGATTGGATTCATTCTTTTAATGCAAGTCAACCCAAGTCTCTTAGCCCAATAAAACTATCTCTACCCAATCCTACATTCTATCATGTATTTTGATGCACGGGTCCAAGGAGCGTTGCCGGGGAAGAGGATACTAGTTGTTGTTGTCGTTTTCGTCATCTGAATCTACGTTTCCTCTTTGTGCTAGTAATTTTTCCTTTTTTTCAAAAGTGTTTCAAATTATACATGATGAATCATATATCCAAATGCACGATACGAGTACTCTGTATAAATTATCCCACCACCACAATAAATTTTCTTGATGGAAGACAAAACTTCCAAAACTTAGCCGCTTGTTTTATTTGAAGAACCAAAAGGATGAGATTTTTTTTAAATAAAAATTAAATAAAAGACGATGTGATGATTTTTGAAGACAACATAATAAATTAATAATCTACGTGGGTCCAATTCAACCAACCATCAAACGTTAATCTTCCCACTCATCGTCGACTCCCACAAACTTTCCAGCGCCAATGGGTGAAAAGGATCCGTTGCCGACAGGCCGGATTGGGAAATTGAGATGATCCCTTCGCATACATTCTCCCTCCGTTAGCCCGTATAAAGATTCTTTGTTTTTAATTTGGTGGGTGGTAAGGATAGGGCAAACATTAAATTTTCTCTCTTGACTGTAAATTGAAACAGTAGTTCAATTTGGGGTTTTGTTTTCTCTCTCCCTTCTCATGATTCTTGGACCCTATGTGCCCCAACCTGCCGCCTGATGTCTCCACATTTCGATAATAATCATATGAAAAGTGTGAGTTTTTCTGAAAGCAAGTAAATAAAGAAATCATCGTTCTTTTCCTTTTCTGCTATTCTTTGATGTCTATTGGCTGTACCGTTTTCTGCTTATGTTCTGTTTCTGGGTAAACATTTGAATGCTCTGCAGAGAATTATAGCTGAGGTTTCATCGATTTGAAAGAAGATCGGAGATGGGTTTCATCGGCACTGTGATGGGTTTTTTTGGGTTCGGATTTGGGATCTCAATTGGGCTTGTGATTGGGTACTTCATGTTCATCTACTTCCAACCAACTGATGTTAAGGTTATTTTCCAGTTTCTTTTTCATAATTCAACAGTTTCAGTAACTTCATCAGTTTTAGTCAAATCGCCCTTACCATATGGGCTCTCAATTTTACTTCCTTGTGCAATTGGGTAGTCTGCAACTGCTTGTGTTAAATGAGACATCTTTTCCTATTTAGGACCCTGATATCCGTCCGCTGGCTGAGAAAGATTCCAAGAGTCTGCAAAAGATGCTTCCGGAGATACCCTCTTGGGTGAAGAATCCAGATTTTGATCGTGTATAACCATTGATGTACTATCTAATCTAGCACACACTTACATCATCCAAACAAATTCTAATGACTGCTCTTAACCTTACTTGAATGCAGCTGGATTGGCTTAATAAGTTTGTAGAGACCATGTGGCCTTATCTGGACAAGGTTCTGTCTTGTCTGTTTGTAATTTTTGTTTATTTACTGCATAGGCTTTGAGTTGAGAATTGATTGCTGTGTTTAAAAGTGTTCAGGCAATTTGCAAGCAAGTAAAGCAGATAGCAGCGCCTATAATAGCCGTGCAAATCCCCAAGTACAAAATTGAGTCGGTTGAGTTTCAAACACTTACGCTCGGCTGCTTGCCTCCTACTTTCCAAGGTTCAGCTCCTCCTTCAAAGGCACCCTTTTCATACCATGTATATATGCAGTCTTGTTTTTGCCTCCATGCCTTTCTGACTTTTCACATTAGCCTTTGCACTCGTGAGAGTTATATTATTTTGTTTCTCTCTTATCCATATGTGCTTAGGAATGAAAGTTTATTCTACTGAGGAGAAGGAACTGATAATGGAACTAGCATTGAAGTGGGCAGGTAATCCTAACATCCTTGTTGCGGTCAAGGCATTTGGGCTCAAAGCCACTGCTCAGGTATTTTTTGCACAATAAAAAAAATTAAATACATGCACGTGGATTGCTCGATTGTTTATAAAACGTTTTCTTTAAGTAAGTTTTTACCTCTGAATTACTGTATTTTTCCCTGCAATGTTGGGCAATTTCTTTTTAAACTCATTAAACACATAGTTTTGGATGGAAGGAAGATGTGAACTTACTTATTTATTGGTTGGAGTATTTCAGGTGCTTGACCTGCAAGTGTTTGCCTGTCCACGTATTACACTAAAGCCATTGGTTCCAACATTTCCATGTTTTGCGAAAATTCTAGTCTCTCTCATGGACAAGGTCAGCGGCGTTCTTAAAATAAAATGGAATTATATGTTTTACAAGAGAAGTTAAAGAGTGTGGTTACTGTTTGGGTGGATGAAATAGTTTGATAACTGCTTGGGGATGGAATGAATTTTCGTAGGTTGAAGACACCCTATTTACGAATCACTGTACAGAGAAAAGGCGAAAAAGATCTTTTTTTCACATAATCAATGTCACCGAGCCAAATATGATAACAAATCCTTAATCTTCATGGAAATTTAACAAACAAGTCCTTAAAATGCAGCCACATGTTGATTTTGGATTAAAATTACTCGGAGCCGATGCTATGTCTATACCTGGCCTTTACAGATTTGTTCAGGTTTGTTATACTTAGATGACTACTGATGCGGTCAATATCATCTTCTTCTCAATATTATTGTCATCAATTTACTATTACGGAGTATTATTATTAGTCGTTCTGTTCTTATTAGTTGGAGTTTTGAAATGCAGGAAACTATAAAAGATCAGGTTGCAAATTTGTACCTGTGGCCAAAAAGTCTTGAGGTCCAAATAATGGATCCTTCCAAGTGAGTTATCATATCTCAGTTCCGCCATAGTTCTTTCTTGGTCCTTTTTCCTATACCATTTTAGTAAATACAGTCTCTCCATTTTTTTAATTATTTTTTTTACTAAGGGCAACAAAGAGGGCAGTTGGAATTCTTCATGTGAAAGTAGTGAGGGCAATGAACTTGAAAAAGAAGGATCTTATGGGGGCTTCAGACCCCTATGTGAAACTCAAGCTCTCCGAGGAAAAACTCCCTTCAAAGAAAACAAGTGTGAAGCAAAGAAACTTGAATCCTGAATGGAATGAAGAATTCAATTTTGTCATCAAGGACCCACAATCCCAAACTTTGGATATTGCTGTCTATGACTGGGAACAGGTATATATGTCTTCCTCTTTCTCTTTGGTAATCCAAGAGACACCCACATTGGAATAACAGAAACCAAACATATAATGCCTTATTCTTGCTTGAAACAAAGATTCTTTCTATCCTGTTTATGTTCTTTTTGAACTTTAAGCAACAGTAAATCTTTCAACAGGTGGGGAAACATGAAAAGATGGGAATAAATATCGTATCTTTGAAGGATCTCACACCCGAAGAGACCAGAGTGTTGACGCTTGATCTTCTGAAAACCCTTGACCGGGAGGACCCACAAAATGTGAAGTCGCGGGGGCAGATTGTTCTAGAAGTAATGTACAAGCCTTTTACAGACAACGAGATGGCCAATGTTGAAGAGACTGGAGAAGTACAGAAGGCTCCGGAAGGAACACCTCCCAATGGTGGACTGTTAGTTGTCATTGTCCATGAAGCTCAGGATCTTGAAGGGAAGCACCACACTAATCCGTTCGTTCGCTTCCACTTCAGAGGAGAAGAGAGGAAAACAAAGGTACTCCTTATTTCTAGTTTTATATGAATGATGATTTCTTTCATGCAGACCCTTTTTTTATATATATTGAAATTGTTATTGCAGACTGTCAAGAAAAACAGAGATCCTAAATGGGGAGAAGAGTTTGAGTTCACGTTGGAAGACCCACCTACAAACGACAAGATTCGTGTCGAAGTTTTTAGCTCCTCGTCCAGAATAGGTTTGATACATCCCAAGGTGTGTTTTGTATGTATTGTGTGCACGCTAAAGAACACAAAAAAAACAAGTTTTATCATTATGATAGCTTTGTAATAGTTTTTTTTTTTGTTGCAGGAGAGTCTGGGGTATGTGGATATATCCCTTGCTGATGTAGTGAGCAACAAGAGAATTAATGAGAGGTACCACCTGATTGACTCCAAGAACGGTAGGATCCAGGTCGAGCTACAATGGAGGACTGCTTCTTGATCGATCAAAATTCGTCTTCGTTACTCTTGCGCTGTAAAATTAAAGGTTTTTTCGACATTTTTTTACTTCTTCTGTGATGGCAAAGCTTCTCTCCCTGTCCTGCTGTCCATTTGGAAGGAGTCTCATTGTTTGTTCACAAGTACTGAAAAATAGTAATAAAAAAAAAAAGAAAACAACAAAATGGTGTATGATCTTTGTGTAACACTATGCGTGCAAAAGTATGTGTTGAAGTTTGAAACATTTCCCGAGTTTCCAACAACAAAGTTGAGTTTTTGGTTGGATGGATGTGTGTTTTTTATTTATTGCATTATGTTGAGATCCTGTCACATGATGCCGAATGTCATTAAATGTGAAGGTGTTTGTGCTCTATAAAAGGGAGTAAGATGTTAGTGTTGTTTGCTTATTGTTGTCTGTTGTATAATTACTTCTAGTTTAGTTTTTAAATATTTAAATTTAATTTTTCTTTAGATTTACATTAATATTTAAATAAATTGAATTGAAACCAACTCCAATCAAACATATTCCGTAATGAATTGTTAAGAATAAGATTATTATTTTTTTTGAAAGCAAGAATAAGATTATTATTAACAAAGCAGAAATATTAAAGGAGAACGCTTGCATAGAGGATACAACTTTAGATACAGCCCAAATGGCCATATGGCCCATGTCGATTTTATATATTTATAAAAGTATTTTGGTTAGATCTTTTTTTTTGTAGCATAAGTTCGATGGCTAAAGCACTCGTATACACTTGGTATGTAAGAACAAGAGAAAACACTTGAAGTTACAATTGAAGACATTATAATGACCACGGTTCAAGTGACATTGAATTTCAATGTCATAGAATGGTTCGTAGCATCTATGGTGTTTTGTTTGAAAAATTGATAGTTATTACTTCTCCAAACACCTCCGAAAAACTCCCTCCACCCGGCCCGACCCAACGTCTCTAAAATGTACACCCTCCGTTAAAAAAATTGCTTTCATTTTTCATCCGTCACAACAAAAAGCGTACACTTTTACTTTCAATTAAAATCTTTGCGGTACTTTTTAAGTCAATTAATTTTTAACCTACATATCACGTTATATGTATTTCTTATTAATATACTCATCAGTCATCACATCCTATTCTACTATACTATGAGTATAAGGTAAGGGTAAAATTAGAAAGTTATATCAAAGTTAAATAAAGTGAATTTTTTTTATGACTGAAGTAATACTCATTTGCCTTAACATAAAGTTTATATTTTCTAATTTTTAGATGTCTTTAAATAAAGTTTATATACATGTATTTACACTCTTGTTTAGAATACGTAACTTTTATACTTCCTCCCTTCTAAGTATAAACTATTTCGACTTCTCGATAATTTTTAGTTGCTTATTTGTCTTGGTTTACCATTTGATAAAATAAAATATTCTTGTCGCATCTTATTTTGTAGAACTCTTAATGTATTCCTGAAAAATGTAATTTTTACTTTTTATTTCTGAAAGGTGGGAATATGATCTTGTACCCTATAAAATCAAGTGAAATTTGCACTAAATAGGACTAAAACATAATGACTTTTCTAATGTAGGACTTAAACTTTTTTATTCCCTAAATAGGACTTAATAATGACCTAGTGGAAGGAATAATGTCCAGTAATGATGGACATTTAGTTGAATAATGACTACTTGATAATGACTAAAGGTCTTACATTGGGAAATAAATACATATGATCCTATATTGAGAAAGTCATTATGTTTTAGTCTTATTTAGGTAAATTTCTCTAAAATCAAAACCAAAACCAGAATGGACGTATTTTGAACGGAAATAAGGCCAAAACTGACAATTGAGATGAAGGGAGTAGGTTTTTAAAAATATACTCCGTATACGAGTATTCAAGTTAAGCAATCATGAAGAAAATAAAGCTGGCCAAATCAAATTATGGCCATGCGGAACGGATCGGATATTCCTTGGTATTTGTGTTTATATATGGAGTTTAATTTTGGCTTCCACAAATGGTCTGAAATCTGAATTTATTTGCTCTATGTCATATCAACCCTCAATCCGGATTCCGGAAACTAGATTGTTTTCACATTCTCTTTCCCAAATTAATTGTTTTGTTTTGTTTACTCAAGGCCAATTAGCTCTGACGCCCCCGTGATTTGGAAAATTGGCACAATACTCTCCCTGTTTTCAAAACTTATTTCTAAAGTCCCCTTGGCTTCAAAACGTTGCACCAACACCCCCTCTGATCATTTTCCGGCCATTTTCCGGCGAAGAAGGGGCATTGACGCATAATTTCTAAACCATAGGGGGCATTCGTGCTCATTTCTTATTTTCGTTTATTATTCTTCCCTTTTTTTAATATTTTCTATCTCTTTTTCCTTTTCCTAGATTTTTTTAAAATATATTTTCAATTTTTTATAATGTTTCAAAAATTTTAAAATTCTTTATGTTTGAAATAAAAATAGAAATAAAAAATTAACATATATTATTACATCTATCTAAAATTAAACATTTTCACTTTTTGTTACTTAGAATAATTTTTTGGAAATTTCCAAAAAAACCCAGGATAAAAAAATAAAATATGGAAAATCGAAAAGAAAAAATTAAAATACGGAAAAAAAGTCTTATACAAAAAAAATTTGGACACGCCTAAAAAAGTCCTTAAAATTGAGATGTCCGAAAAGGATATTCATTTTTATTTTTGTATTATTTTGTTTCTTATTTTATTCCTCATTTTTTTTGAAGTTCTAAAAAAATTACATTTTATTCAGAAAAAAACAAAATTTGTTAATTTGAGACGTACATATGCATTATATGTTAAATTTTTTACACAAAAATAACTTTAAATTTTAAGAACATTATAAAAATATTTTTAAAAAACCTTTATTAATAAATGAAACAAAAAAGGAAAAAATGGAAAAAAAATTGCGAGAAATAAATTCAGCACTGATACCCCCTATGGTTTAAAAAATATGCACCGATGCACCCCTTCTTCGCCGGAAAAATGGCCGGAAATTGATCAGAGGAGCATGGGTGCAGCTTTTTAAAATCACAGGGACTTTAGAAATGAGTTTTGAAAACAGAGAGGGTTGTGGTGCATGTTTTGCAAACCACGAGGGGTACCAGCGCTATTAGCCCGTTTACTCAATTCTAATTAAATACTCATTCCTCTTAAATTGTTTGCAACATTTTGAAAGATGCAAAAAATATTACCTCTTTTAAAGTCATTTTATTAACAAATTGTAGAGGAATAAAAAATAAAAATTACACCGTTTAAAAGTACATCAAAAGTTTCACAACAACAAGATGCGACGAGAATATTTCATTTTATCAAATGGTCAGCCAAAATGAATGAGCAACTAAAAGTTATCGAAAAACTGAAATAATAATTGTGACATTATATTTAGGAGTGAGGGAATAATTGTTTCACATTTTCAATGTCTTAATTAAGTAAGAATATGTAGTTTTCAATCTTGCTAATTTCTCTAAGTAAATTTCAACCACTCACATTTCATTTTAGAATAGTTTTCTTAAATCCCGTGAAGTCAAATCGAAACATTTCATTCCGAATGAAAGTTTACGATTTTTTGAAAACTATATAGTGTTTTCGTAAAGGCGTGCTTTTTAATACTCTCTCTGTCACAAAATGTTTTTCATTTAGTTTACTGGTACACCGTACACCATGCATCCATCCTGAATAGATCTTTTTATTACGTATTAGGAGTTTTAGGATGCTTGACTGACTTTATTATCAGTTCCATTTATTTGATTGTAAGTTTAAAATTTAAAAATAAAATTTATATAGTAAAATATTACACAAAAAATTCTACAAAATAAGATGTTACAAGATTAATAAATTACTTTATAAAATAAATAGTAAAAATCAACAAACAAAATTAATTAAATTCAACATATGGATAGTATCTGAGAAGATCTATGCCGGACGGAGAGAGTATAAAATAAGATGTGCAAGACTAAATTATTCTGTAAAATAAATATTAAAAATAAATTGAAAAAATGAGTTAAATTTGACTGCATGGGTATAATATATGTGAGAAAATGGACTGAAACTGATTCCAAATTGTTAAAAAGAAAAAATACTCCCAAATTGTAATAAAAAAACAGTCCTTTTCTGTAGCACCGCCGGTTTCTCATACTCCCCTCCCGAGGGCAATCCCAGTCCCCCCAGATAGATAGATAGATAGATAGATAGCTACTCATCATAGGGTATGGCCGTAGGGCATTATTATGATCCGAATTGAATCCAATTATAGACTACCCTACACCTCTTGCATTTCCCCTCACTACCCCTAATATACAAAAATAACCCATTCTAAACAACAGTAGCTTTATGCTCCGTTTGGCTTGAGAGAAAATCGAAATAAAGAAAATATAAGGAGAGAAAATGAAGTTTTCTCGTGTTTGGTTGAGAAAATGTACCTAGAGAGGAGTAAAAATGTTATGTTACTCCCTCCGTTCATTAATTTCTTTCTCATTTTTCTGTTTGGCCGATACTTTTATGGCTTTACCAATATACGGATTATATGTTTTTTCTTTATTTTAACTTCTACTTTCTATTTCTTATTTTTTTCCCTCACATATTCACTTTTTATTATGCTTTATTTTTTTTATTATAAAAAATGAAGTTGGATGTCGAGTAAAAAGAAGTTGATATTTTAAGGTATGTTTCAAAATTAGTATGGGTGGCAGGGGCTTAGGGGTCTAAGGGGATAGAAATTATCAATTTTTACAAACAACTGTAAAGATCTTAAAATGTCAATATAATTTAAGGGCAATAGCGGGAATCTTTTAAAGAAAGAGGGAGTAAAGTTTAGAAACCAAAAAAACATTTTGCCTTAGTAATAAAATGATTCCTTAGGTTAAGTTCGGCCCAGTTGTAGAATTAAGCTTTGTGATGACCAAATTTAATAAATCAGAATCAAATGATGCTTCCTTTAAGCGAAGCATTGATCCTCCCATCCCCTTTTATTTCACCTTCAACAAATTAAACTTATAAAAGGCTCTCTTGCAAAGTATACTGACTTTCTATTCATTGATTCCAATCCCGACCGATATGGCCCGTTGATCTTTTCAACCTTCTTTTCTGACTCAGATCGATCAAATATGTAAATGCTTTTGAAATTTGTACGTCATCCTTAGCAGGAACACGAGCCATGCTTTTACCGGTAGCTCAACTGATTCATGGAGAGGATGTTAATTAAATCCATTGGCGATCCTAGGTTTGAATCTCGGGAGCGACAATGCGGGAGTACGTCTATTCGTTCTAATAGCTCATTGTGCGTACCGGGCACGTGACGATCTCTCTAATGACCAGATTGAGATTATACCATGATTTACATACCCCTCGCAATCCTG